GCTCCGGCCTGCTCCATGTCTCCTGCCCCACCCGCCCTACCATCGGTGGCCGGGCTTTCAGCCTCTCTGCCCCCACATCTGGAACTCCATCCCATGGTCCCGTCACCTCGCTTCCTTCCTTGCCTCCTTCAAGGCCGGTCTCAAGACCCTTCTCTATGATCATGCCTTTGGTCTCCCTCCCACCTCTCTGCCTTCCCCTACACCAACCCTCCCCCATGCTTGGGCCCCGCTTTGGGACGTCCTCCCGACATGAAACGCACTCTATAACTGTAATTTTGTTGTTGTTGTTATTAAAGCATTAAAGCCATCCCTGATGTTTGAGTAGATTTATGAGCATAATATTTTTTTCAGAGTCACACTGCTTGGCCTTTCAGTATACACAGTCAACTCTGGTGACGGTTTAAGGGTTAATTTATTGGAGAATCCTGAAAACAAGGAACTTTATATCGTGGGTTTACCAGCCACATTGAATAACCTTCTGATCCTCAAGATCCTAATGATGCTTAATTGATTAATAATTAATTGTAATTTTAAGATAACATAATCTGTACCAGGCAATTGGTATGTACATTACCTGGTCCCTAATAATCTACACATTTGATACAAAAAAAGGATTAGGAACTCTGAGCTCTAAAAATCAAAGCAACTTTAAACCAATAATAAAACCCTATGTGCCCACAGGGAGTTTAAACTATAAATTAAGTGGCTCATTAAGACTGGATAGAATTGAAGAATTTCCAGTTAGTTACTTAATTGTTATCTAAACTAGCAGGGGAGGTCAGTAAATGCAATATATAAATCTATTGAGCACCGACTAGCAGTAGCTACAAGTTTACAGTGAATGGTGCCATTTATTAGATTAATTTATAAAAAGGCAATTTCTTTTAATCTGAGGATCAGAAACGATACTCCTTAGCTCCCGTCAATGTCTGCTCACCTGTGGCTCTGACCTCCTTAACCTCTCTGAAACTATGTAACTCTCTTCCTCCTTCCTCATTTTCAGATCACATCTGAAGTCCCAACGGTCACCTCCCCACTCTAGAAGTCAAACTCCATCATTGTTACGGACTCCAAGATACAACCGCAGATGAAGGGCGCATTTCAATGCAAGTTGTTTTTGTTGAATCCCCTCAACCTTACAATATAAATAATAATCCTTGCAATTGATATAGTGCCTTATCATGTCGTTGAGACATCTCAAAGTACTTCACAGATTATATTGTGTATTGTGTGGGCGAAATGCGGCAGCCAATTGAGTATAGCAGTGTCTCAGTCGGATTGAGTGACCAAATTTTTTTATTATAATAATCCTTGCATTTGATATAATGCCTTATCGCGTCTTCAAAACAAAACTGTAGAGTGAATTTACTGTATATTCTGTGGGTGAAAGCGGAATCCAATTGCGCACAACAGTGTCCCACAAACAGTCATGGATTGAGTGACCAATTTTTTTTTGAAGGGATTACCTTAGGAAAAGCCAATTGACTAATAACAACAACAACAAAATCACATTTGTATAGCGCACTTTCACATCGGGAGGACTTCCCAAGTCAGAGTTTCAGATCCAAGCTGGGGGTCAAGTTTGGGAAGAGTGGAGAAAGAAGGGAGGGGGAAGCAGGGTGATCGAAAGCATGGTCAAAGAGGAGGGTCTTGAGATGGATTTTGAAGGAAGCAAGGGAGGGGGCGAAGCATAGAGACTGCGGGATGGAGTTCCAGAGGGTGGAGGCAGATCTGCAGCCTATGGAGGGAGGAGTTGGGGAGGCCGACAAGCAGGGAGTTTGCATAATCAAGCCTCGAAGTAATGAAAGCGTGTACAAGGGTTTCGGTGGCTTGCGGTGTAAGATATGGTGGCGCGGGGCGATGTTGCAGAGGTGGGGGAAGGCAGGGCAGGTCACGGCACAGATGTGGGGTAGAAAGGATAGTTGAGGGTCAAACAAGACTCCAGGGTTCTGGACTGGCTAACAAGGTGGAGTGTGCAACCATGGATGGTGATGCTGTCTGCGCCTGAGGTGTGGAGGCGCTGACAGGAGCCAATCAGGAGAGCCTCGGTCTTGTTGACGTTCAACTGAAGAAAGTTAGCTCTTTTCCACGACTTGATGTCTGACGGACATTCTGTCACGACAGCAGTTGTCCTGGAGTCAAGGGTGGAGTCAGAGAGGATGTGTTGGGTGTCATCCACATACATGTGGAAGTTGACCCCATGTCTGCAGATGATGTCACCAAGAGGGAGCATATAGATATTGAAGAGAAGGGGAACAAGGACAGAGCCCTGAGGAACACCGTACGAGACGGTGCGGGGACTAGAGGAGAAACCGTCAGTGGAGAAGTGAAGGCGGTGTGAGAAGTACGATCTGAACCAGTCAAGGACAGAGCTGTGAAGGTTGAGGTGAGAGGAGAGGCAGTGGATGAGGATAGAATGGTCAACGGTGTCGAAGGCAGCAGAGAGATCAAGGAGGACAAGGAGGCAGAGGGAGCCCTGGTTGCAGATGGATAACAATCGGGTTCCTACTTACTGCTAGGTAAACAGAGGTGTGTGGAGTAAGGAAACTCAATTTTCCATTGTAGTTTTCTTTTCTCGGATATATGCCTGTAGCTATTTCTGTCTGGAGGACACTAGATGAGTTGGAGAAATGTAATACTTGTGCGAACTGTACATTGTCCTTTAAAGAAGTCAAATTGCTTTCTCCCATCCTATACCATCTTTTTTCAATTGATAATAATAATCCTTGCATTTGATATAGCGCTTTTCACATCTTCTAGACGTCCCAAAGCACTTCACAGAATATACTGTAAAGTGAATTGACTGTATATTTGTGGGCGAACGCAGCAGTCAATTGTGCACAGCAATGTCCCACAACCAGTCATGGATTGAAAATGACCAATTTATTATTGTTTTGGGTTTTTGGAGGGATTATTATTAGGCGTGTGGAGTAAGGAAACTTGCCCAAGGTTTCGCCCTGTCTGGAATTGAACCCAGGTCTCTCACTTGCAAAGCGAGTGCTCTAACCACTGAGCTACAGGACTCCATTCCAACGATCCTTCTCTAGAATTTCCATGTAGAGGTGGGTTTCAAGGAATTCTCAGTTTCTCGTGGAGTCCTGTAGCTCTGTGGTTAGAGCTCTCGCCTTGCAAGCGAGACACCTGGGTTCAATTCCAGGCAGAGGGCGAAACATTGGGCAAGTTTCCTTACTCCACACAGAGCCTAATGATGATCCCTCCAAAACAAAACAATAATAAACTGGTCATTTTCAATCCACGACTGTTTGTGGGACACTGCTGTGCTGCCGTGTTTTGCCCACAAATATACGGTCAATTCACTTTACAGTCTATTCTGTGAAGCACTTTGAGACGTCTAGAAGACGTGAAAAGTGCTATATCAAATGCAAAGATTATTATTAGTTTGTATGGTGATGGGTTTCCACATCAAAACACCTGGATGACCAAAAGATAAATCCCCATTTAAATCCCAGCACACCATTAGGGGATTTGGACAAACAAATCCTGGTTCCTTTGAACAGGATGGTGGAGGCAGAGTGGCTACAACAACAACAACAAGATTCCATTTATAGAGCGCCTTTCACGCCAGGAGGACGTCCCAAGGCGCTGCACAGTTGGGTCATGACCCGAGCAGGGGGGAAATGGTCAGGGTGAGGGGAGGGAAGGGAGGGAGAGAGGAGGGGGGAAATGGTCAGGGATGGACCTGGGGGATGGAGATCCAGAGCCTGGGGGCTGAAAGGCTGAAGGCCCGACCACCGATAGTAGGGCGGTTGGGGCGGGGGACGTGGAGCAGACCGGAGCCAGAGGAACGGAGGATAATCCTAGCATCTCTACCACCAAAGGAACAGACTGAACCTCCACAACTCCCGGCAATAAAGAATAATCCTTCCATTTGATATATCACCTTATCATGTCGTTGAGACGTCTCAAAGTGATTCACAGAATATATTGTAAAGTGAATTGACTGTATATTTTGTGGCTGAAACGCAGCAGCCAATTGCACACAGCAGTGACCTACAGTTGTAGATTGAGTAACCAAATTGTCATCATTTTGTTATGGATGATTACCCCAAAAAGCAATCTGCTGATCGATTAACAACTTGGCTCCTATTTACTGCTGGGCAAACAGAGGCATGCGGTAATAAGGTTTCACCCCGCACGGGAATCCAACACAGGTCTTCTCACTTGCGAGGCAAGTGCTCTCGGCAATACGCTGCAGGACTCCAATAGTACTGAAACCAAACTCCCAAGAAATCATTGCCTGGAATAAGAAATCTCCTCAAAATCTCTTGATGGCTATGGCAGCCAGAGCAGCAGCACCAGCCCTCCTACACCCCCCACCCTTCACAAGGCCTCGGAAGTGACCAGCAGCAGAAACTCGTTTGCAGTTTGGACATTTGAAGGGCATCAGCTGAGAGGGTGAGGGTCAGGAGGCGGGGATGGCAGACCAATGTTTGAAGGTCTGTGGCTGAGAAGCAGTCGGGGGGGTGGGCAGGAGCACAGGGCGGCAGGAGGGAGGGGAGGGGAGGGAGGGCAGGAGCACAGGGCGGCAGGAGGGAGGGCGGCAGGAGGGAGGGAGGGAGGGAGGGAGGGAGGGCAGTGGCTGTGCTCCGTAGACGAGGCGCCACATGTTCGCTTTCTGTTCGGCCACGTGGGGAGATGGCTTGAGGCGGCGGGGGCTTCCCGCTGCTGCTCTCTGGGCTGCAGGGCCTCCGCGGGCTGTGTGCCGGGGGCGGGGAGTGAGCGGGAGCGGCTCTGTGTGTGTGTGTGTGTGTGAGGAGGAGGAGGAGGAGGTGGGGTCTGCGGTGGAGGAGAGAGACTGTGCCGCCGCCGCTCGTGGTGTAACCAAACCTGCTGCCTGGAACGCGCGTGACTCCCGGCGCGGGGGTTGGCTCAGTGGCGCCATGGGGCGAGCGGGCGGGTCCGAGCCCTGTGATTGGGCGGCGCGGTCCCGGCCAGCCATCAATCAGCCCGGCCGGCAGCCCTTCCGGTTCCGGTTCGGTCGGTCGGGGCCAGCCAGCCAGACAAGTTAGGTTGCGCGGAGTCGGCATGGGCGAGCGGCTGGTGCGGGCCGAGCGTCAATAGCCGTAGAGACCAGCAGCGCAGAGAGGAGCAGCAGCCGCCGCCGTCATCATGGCCGACAGCGAGCACCGCAGCCTCGACGACTTCTTCGCCAAGAGGGACAAGAAGAAGAAGAAAGAGAAAACCAAGACGGCCAAGTCGGGCCCCGCGACCCAGGCCACCAGCGCCCACCCGCCGCCGCCGGCCTCCACCCCGGCCCCGAGCGCGGCCTCCGCCGCCCCCCCCGCCGCCGCCGCCGCCGCCGCGACCACCTCCTCGGCCGCCGCCCCCGCAGCGCCAGCCAACGCCTCGTCGGCCTCCGAGCCGCCGCCGCCGCCGCCAGCCGCCGGGGTTGAGGGCGGCCCCGAGCCTCCCCCCCCCGCCGCCGCCGCCGCCCCGCCGTTAACGCCGCCGTCACCGCCACCACCGCCACCGTGACCGCCTCGAAAAAAACCAAGCGGGAGAAGGAGCGGACAGGCAAGGGCGAGGGCCTGGACTCACAGCAGGAGAGGGCGCGGGTGAGAGCGAGCACCGAGTGCAGGCCGCGGGGTGGGGGAGGGAGGGAGGGAGGCCGCGGGGTGGGGGGGGGAGGGAGGGGAGGCCGCGGGGTGGGAGGGGGGAGGCCGCGGGGTGGGGGGGGGAGGGAGGGGAGGCCGCGGGGGGGAGGGAGGGAGGCCGCGGGGGGGGGAGGGAGGGAGGCCGCGGGGTGGGGGGAGGCCGCGGGGGGGGGGGGGGGAGGCCGCGGGGAGGAGGATGGGGCGGTGGGGGATGGAGGGCGGGGTGGGGGGAGGGGGGGGTGGGGGGGGGGGGGGCCGGGGGGGTGGAGGGGGCGGGGGGGATGGTTGGAGGGGGGCGGCGGGGGATGGTTGGAGGGGGGCGGGCGGCCTGCCGGGCAGCTGCCGGCGTGACGGGTGTAGGAAGTGGGGAAGAAAAAGACACAGCGGAAGTCGGCGGCTGTGGTGACGGGGCGCGGCACTGACGCCGGGCGGACCATTACCCACCGCACAGCACAGCCCACCCTCTGGGGGGGGGGGGGGTCTTGAGGGAGACCGGTGGTGGTGGTGGGGGGGGAGGGAGGGAGGGAGGGGGGGGTGCGGCAGGCACTGGAGGCGTGGTAGCGTGTGAGGGGGAGCAGCAGCCCATGGCGGGCCTGGGACAGGCTTGGGAGGGGGAGGGGGGGGCGCACGGATGTGTGTGTGAGGCGAGGAATGAGGGCTTGTCGTGAAGGAAGGAAGGAAGGAAGGAAGGAAGGAAGAAATGGGTGAAGACTGTGCCGTGCAGTTGGGGAGGGGGAGGACTAGAGGAGGGAATGCGAAATGCCTTGTGACGGTTCACAAAGTTGAGGCATTGCCGAACCCAAAGGCACGGGAGGAGATGTGAAGGCACATTGAGATACCATGTGCTATCAGCAACGGAAACCTTTCAGGACAAAATTGCTCACAGGTTGAAGGGTGAACGATAACTGCTCGGCCCCTTTTTTTTTAAGGCATAGAATGCTTCCGCATGTTTCCTGTTTTTCCATTTGTAACGGTTTAAATTAATTTTTTTTTGTGTGTGTGAGTGTGGTTTTTTACACACACGGTAGCTATTGCAAGTTCAGGAGGTTCTCCAGTAATCCAGTGGCATTTTTTTTCCCCCATTGGTGCTATTTTGAGATTCACATCGTGCATTTTGGTCCAAAATTCATTCTATTTCATCACCAAGTGTCAGGGTGCAAATTTCTTGGGGATCTACAGTGAAATCTCCAGCTGCAGTTACACTACTTTCATGTATGGAACCAAAAGTATGGTTTAATAGAATTGGATTGGAGAATACACTTACCTTCGGTCAGTGTCAAGATGTGTTATTTTGGGATTGAAGTGGCCATTATATTTTATTGTTCAGCCACATTAAAAATAATAAAATTGGCATGTGAAGAGCTGGGTGTGTGGGAAGGTCAAGGTGTAACCTGGGATCTTACCAGTCAAAATAGATCCCAACGTTTACTCTGGTTTGATAATGTTTCTGGAATCAAGCTAAAGTTTAATTTGGCTTTTACATTTGCAGGGTTAAAACAGCTCCTTAAGAGAAACAATAAATTGTATTCATCAAAGGAATGGGAGAATTAATCATAGGGCTTGATTGCTTTCACATCACTAACTTTCAGCAGCAGAAATAGTCTTCACATAGAGGATGCTGAAGATGTGAAATGCTCTTCCCCAGAAAGCTGTAGAAGTAGAATCAATAGGGATAGTTGAAAGATGGGTGAACTGATATTTGTGTAGTAAAGGCGTTGACGGGTGTGGTGAAAGGGCGAGGCAGTGGAGGAGCAGTGTTGATGGCTTTCTCGGGTTCATGTTTTCCCATGTTCTTACTTACTGTTGTGGGACAAGCTGCATTTAACTCAGCCAATGCTCCATACAAGGTGTGAAAATTCCTGCTTTACTACAGGAATGTATATTAAAGAGACACAGGTGCACACTAGTAATTTTTGTGGACATGATTATGAATGTAAATTAAAACCAGTTGGTAGGTAGTTGTTTCAAGATTTAAACCTGTCTCTTTTCCCACAATTTGTTTCTGAGGAATGAAGAGCACGTGTCAGATGAGTTTAAAAAAAATCTGACGACGGTTAAAATTCTTTTTGCTTGTATATCTATTGCCCACAATGTTATACAACTTCTACATACCAATTGTTTTCTGGGGCACTAACTGAAACCAAGGACAAGCCAGGAACATTATTCAGATTTATGTTGTTTTGGTGCTGTAAATTGCATATGTAGACTTAATTTGTCACTACCTCACACACAGTTTGCTAATTCTGTTAGGACTGAACATGTGCAGGTGATTGTTCCCAGAGTCTTACCTGCACTGGTCTTCTGACCTCTAGAAGTAATGAATACCATGGTAGTGTGGGTATGCTGCTCCCCGGGGAGATCAAGCACATTCCATAGATCTAAAAGGTTAGAAAACTGCTAGACTCTAGAAAAATTATGTCAATTTCATTTTGCATTTGAAAATTAAAAATGGTGCACCATTTGTCTTCCTCTTTGTTGTATAGAAGTTACTTTCTTGGTCACTCTTTCATCGATAAGAATGAGACATCTGGTCTTGAGATGACTATTTTTGTTTCTAAAACTCAAATAATATTTGGATTCAATATAATTTAATTATGTCAAAATGTCTCAGTTTGGAATTAAAAAGCTGGTTTGAAGTGAAATGTGGTGAATAATATGGTGACAAATATGGCAGCCAATATGTGTGGGCAACATCCAGAAACACGAAGTTGATCTGCATTTTTCAGGGTGGCTTTGGATAAAGGAAGAATATTGATCAGGGAAGATTAAGTTTGCAAGGAAAGGTGCATTTGAAAAATTGAAGAGGGAAGGGAGAGAAAACACACTGAACTCGTGAGCTCAGGACTAGAACAGCAACCAGTATGCATACTTAGATAATGTTAGTGCCCTTGTTCCCTTATTTTTTGAGTGTTGATTTGTATTATTATTGCATTTTCTGCAGCCTTCAAGGTCTTGGGGTGAAGCTGTACTTGTGTCTCACCAAGCCTTAAGTATTCCAGGGGTCAGGGGGATTTGTCGGATGCTGATTCCTTCCTGTAGGAATTTGTAGCGTTTGCTTTCAAATGGAAACTGCAGGTGCCTGGATCCTGGTATAATGCATTGCTCACTAAAAAATCCAAGTGGGTTTTCCCTTCGCTCTCAGGTGGAGTGAGCAGCTACAGCAAATTGCTTATTTAGTGGTCTGGCTAATACTTGGCTCACTTCCAAGAAGAGCCAGGTGAGTCTGAGTGACAACAACCCTAGGATTTGAACCTGCAAGCATTTGGTTAGGAGGCAGAGTCTCTAATCTAGCAGTACTGTGCTGTTTTATTATCTTTCTGAATTTGACATCAGTCTTTTTTTCTAAAGAATTTATTTCACTGTTTGTGGATGAGATTTTCAGATAGGAATGAATTTACAAAGTGTTCTATCAACAACAACAAATTTTATAGAGCGTCCTACACATAGGGAGGACGTCCCAAGGTGCTGGACAGTTAGGGGTCAGGACCTGAGCATGGGGTAGGGGTGAGGGAAGGCAGAGAGTTGGGAGGGTGACTGAAGGCATGATCGAAAAGGGGGGGGTCTTGAGACCGGCCTTGAAGGAGGCAAGGGATGAAGCAAGGTGAAGGGACTGTGGGATGGAGTTCCAGAGTGTGGGGGCAGAGAGCTGAAAGCCCGGCCACCGATAGTAGGGTGGGTGACATGGAGCAGGCTGGAGCCTGCTGAATGGCGGGAGCGGGTAGGTTGGTAGGGAGTCAGCAGGTCGGAGAGTTAGGAGGGGGCAAGGTCATGGATGGCCTTGAAAGTGAGGACGAGGATCTTGAATTCAATCCTCTGAGGGATGGGGAGCCAGTGGAGTCGGGCGAGGGTGGGAGTGATGGGGTCACGGAGCCCTATCATACCCATTCCAGAAGCATCTTCTGGTACATTGACTAAGGAGGCTTTTTTGATGGTGTGTCAATTTCAGCATCTTCTTGACTTGGTGAGATGGCCTCAATGTGAATTAACTCGACAGAGGAAACAAATGATCAAATATGGTGTTTCTGGAACTTGAATGAATGCAATTGTTTTAAAGTGTATTGGTTACATTTAGAAAACAATCACTTCAATTCAAATTTGTGCTTACTAATGTGTAGGAAGTATTGAGCTAAAGGAATGCAGGATTGAGCACTTCTAGGTCAGGGAAACAGAAGTTAAGTTTAAAATAGAGCTCCCTCTAAAAATTGCACTAATTTAACATATCCAATCTTGTGTTGTGTTGAATGAAATTGCTGACTTTGTGCTGCATTGACAATCTTGTGGCAGCGATCCATGTCAACTAAGAACTCATTCATTCAACTAGCAGATCATGGCTTTTGTTTGCTCAGTTTAGGCAGGAATTGACAAAAGGTTAAAGGCTCAATGTTCTCATTCAACAATATGAATTATTTAATATTATCTATCATAATTAATAGTCATATTTTTTATTTGTAATAATGTGCTGAATTTTTTAAGGTGGGTCCAGTACATTTGATGGTTTTATGATATTCCAACGTATGATGAAACATTTAAATGTTAAAAGTTTTTATGGCTATTTCATAGTAATAAGATTCTTGCCCATCAGGAAAGCTACATGCTTTGTTTAAATTTTCTCGAATGGGGGTGTGTGAGGTCTCCTGAACTGGCTCTTGCAATGGAATTCAATCAAGTCATTCCTAGCCTGGCATTTCAGGAGGACTTGCAAGTGGCATTGGAGGCAAGGATTCTTCCTACTTATCTCCTGTTAACCTTGCAATCCAAAGCCCTTCTAGGTATGATGGTCCTTAGCAGCAGGAAGCTTGCCAGACAGTGCTTTCAATGGCAACATACCTGGTTTTAGCTGTTAAAGCTCCAGCCGTACCCCACAGCACAAATGTTTTGATTCCATTTAATACATTCCACACCTCATCAGAGGTTAGGACTCATGAGAATGCCGGGTGCAAAGTTATGACTCACAGGATTGAAGGGATGATTCAACCTGCAGTCACTGGAATGTGTGGATAATTGGATAAATATCTGAATGTGTGCACTCATTTCCTAAGATTCCGGTAAATTTCTATTGAATTCTGGTTTCATAACTAGAAGTGTTCAACATTCAGAAGCAAAGTGGATAACTTGTGATTTCATGTGATTTAAATTGCAAGCAAGTTGCATACTTTGTCTTGACTTTTTTTTCTTTTATCGAACACCTAGTAAATCTTTGAAATGGAGAAAATGTGACTGATAATGAGTGTATGGGCAAATGTGACTGTCATAATGAGTATCTTTTTTGCCATGTTTATCTGTGATGCTTTCTGCTTGTACTATATTTCAGCATACTTTTTTGTGGTTTTAGGCTATTATTGTGAAATTGAAGATTGAACGTAATTTTGGAAAGTCATGTTAAATTCTGTTTGAATCTGGAAGCTGTTTTTTGGAGTCCTTTGTTGTCTCAAAAAAAAGTGTGAACTTGAAGAATTTTAGAAATGTTGTAAGAATGAGTTAAATTGAAGGTGCACAATAAAATTAATCTTGGATTGATGTGCAAAGGTATATTTGTGCAGTCAAGTTTGTACACTAAATTTTCTAAAGATTGATCCAGAATCTAGAATACCTTTCCAAAAATCTAGTGGGAAAAGATGTATTATGTGGAATTGTTTAAAAACAAAGTTACTGAAGTATTTCATGGCAACACTGATCTATGTTAAACTATAGTTGGATATTAGGCAGCAAGAAGGACGCAAGAAATTTTAGAGGCGATGGTGAACATGAAACAAGTATGCTCAGAATACAAAAGGCAAACTGGGCAACTAGGGGTATGGGAGCTTGGTTATGGGACAGAGGGAGAAAAATGTTTTCAGTCTAAGTAAGTGTTTAAATGCAACCTACACTATTCATGTTGTTATTTATTCAATATAGTGTATTGGATTTGTAAAGTTTTGACTATTGTGGTTTCAGGAGGATGAAGAATGGAAGGAGTTTGAACAAAAGGAAGTTGATTACAGTGGACTGAGGATCCATGCCTTACAAATCAGGTGAGTTGGGGAGCTTTAGCCACTTGGATGATGTCATATTTCTGGTTGCCTTAGTCTTGCTGTGTTTAAAGTATTAATTGGACTACAGTTACAGATCATTAGTAATATGACTGAGGGTTGGTTTTCCCATCGTGATGTATTCAGGCAGAAATAGACTATTGATTCATGTAGCCTACCCATTGAACTTCCAAAGGATTCCTTCAGCATCATCTACTTTATTTACTGCATTTCACAATACAATCGAGTCCCATTACGCATCCTAGTTGGGTTCTGGTTTGCTTGAAATGTGGGTCTACTGTGGACCTTGCTATATCAAGACCTGGTGTTAGAACTAAAAACTTTCTGACTTCCAGGTTGACAAGTAGGCACTGATATTCCAATCCCAACTGTAATGTTTGTGTATGATTTGTTCCAATGCAAAAACAGCCTAACCACTAGCTAATTGAATTTTATCGGTTTATTTTGCATCAATTTTATTACGTTCTGGATAATAATAAAACATTTTATAATGTTCTAGATCACGTTCTGAAGCAGTTTGGTGTATAGCTACCTTTGGACTAACTTTAGTGTATTGGTATGAATATGATATAGGAAACCATTACTTTCAGCTAGTGCACTTTGTTGCACCAGTGTATCTGCAATACACCTAGTATATTTATTACTTCTAAAAGCAAAGTTGCTTTGTTTAAATTGCAATATGTGCAGGACGTGGCACTAACATCACTTTGCAACTGCTGAAACATAGGACGTCCATGCTATTGAGTTTTTTTTCCTTTTTTCGTGGTTTTGAGAAGTTTGCTTCTTTCTCCATAAATCTAATTTGTCTTTTACTTGTTAGTAGGTGTATGGATCAATCGTTTTGCACCAACTACCCTGTTAGACAAAGTATAATTTGTTTCTTGGGAATCATCAGAAAATTGTATGTTGGATTTTAATTTGCAGAGTTCTGACCTAGCATACACTTTGTATGTATACTACCTTCAGATATTACTGTTGAAGCTGCCACTTACTCTAGCAGGTAGGGTGACAGCTCAACTTTATTAAAAAAGTAATGAAGAGCAATGCAGTGACACTTGTGTTGTATGGGCAAGCCTCCAGGATGCTCTAATAACAGAGTACATTAATAACATTCAGCATCTAACTTAATTTGGATCTTTCACCGTTTGCTGCAGTTCACAAAATCATTGTGTAAGATTTTAGCACAAAAGTTGAAGTTGATGAAAAGTTGTGGCTCTTAATGAGGGGAAATACCCTTTTGTGGAAGTGACCACCAAACATTGTTTTTTTAAAGGCAAGTTGTAAATGCAGTAATGTTGGGAGGAGGTTTGAGCCTTCCTGCCTCATGTCGGATTATTGGGTATTCCCATAGTTGTATTGTTGGATACTTGACAACAGTCATGTGAAGTGGGCTAATCTTTTTATGCATTGTTAGCCTGAATTGATTGAGTGGATATTGGTTTTGCTCGAAGCACAAATAATTGATTTGCTTTGGGTGCTTTAGATGGTAACCCATTTATTCAGTTTTGCACTTGAGCCAATGGTAGGTATGAGAGCCTCTTGAAATTAAGAGCATTGATTTTGGTGACTGGTCCTAAAGACTTCACCATGTATGATTAATACCCTTTTATTTTTATCAGACCTTCTAAACACAATCGACTCTCTTGATGGAAAGAGAGATTTGGATGTAAAGTGAATGAGGGCAAATCTGAGGTAATGCCCTCTGGATTGTGCATGCCTCTTTATTCTGAATGCCTTGTATGCTTGTGCAATGAGTGATTCTACGGTAGCTCAAAATTCCCTTACTTGAATTTTTTTTATTAATCTTGCCTTTTTTTTAATAGAGTAGAGGAATCACAGAGGTGTAGTGTAGCCCTACAATTTTCTTTGGAGAAATTGCTGGAGGATGTTTTCTGGAAGGCACAGGTCAGAATTGAATAACTAATCTGGAGCTTTGCATGATTACTTTTGGGGATCAGGGGAGATTTACGTAAACTTTTCCCTTAGGATGATCCACAGGCTACAGTGGGATAAGTTGTACCGGTTTTTGAGCGAGGCTTGTTGTATTTTTACATTAAATTTTTTAAGTAAAATAAATCAAGTGTGTTTTCCCCACGGGCACATGCCTCTGCTCCCAGTCTGGGGTGTGATTCCATGGAAGTTGAAGATTCAAAGCAGGGAGCTCCTGGTTCCTGAGCTACAGTGCAATCCACTTCACCATCGAGGCTGCCCAATTCCGTGATGTCTTATAGTTAGTAGATAAATAATTAACTCTGTGGATTTGTTAGTGCACTTGAGTGGTTTTAGATTTTCAAATTAATGCAATACTTCTCACTCCTGTGTGTCAGCCCAGCTCAGTTTGTTGAACTCTTGCCTCTGAAGGTTGTGGGTTCAGGCACCATTGAGACTTTGAGCTCACAGTTTACGCTGGTATTCCAATGAGGTCTAAGGTAGAAGTAAGTTGCTGAAGGTCCACACTTTTGATGAGACATTAAATGTGCTTGTTCAACGTTATAATAATAATCCTTGCATTTGATATAGCGATTTTCACATCCTCTAGGTGTCTCAAAGCGCTTCACAGAATATGAACTTGTGGGCGAAACGCAGCAGCCAATTGCGCACAGCAGTTTCCCACAAACAATTGTGGATTGAAAATGACCAGTTTATTATTGTTTTGGAGGGATTATTATTAGGCGTGTGGAGTAAGGAAACTTGCCCAAAGTTTCACCCTGCCTGGAATTGAACCCAAGTGTCTCGCTTGCAAAGCAAGTGCTCTAACCACTGAGCTACAGGACTCCACAAGATCTTATGACACTCAAAGGGAATTCTTCCCTTTATCCTGGCCAACCATCCTCTGAAGAAAAATGGTCATGGCTGTTTGGGATACTGAATTACACAGTATGTGACTGCCACATTTGCCTACCATCAGTCACTTGACTTTACTGCCATTGCCAATGAAGTGCATTGAGATTTTTCATTGTTAATCAGATGCAAATATTATTATGCAAGTACTTGGAGGGAAAGACCTGTCACTGAGAGCAGATATTCTTTTCATCAGCTCCTGTTAACCCTGAAAGCCAAAGCTCTAATACGTAGGGTAGATCCAGCTGGGCAAGCCAGAAATTATAGCAATGCCAAGCTTTGCGATTCTAGCAAGTTAAACTCCAGAAGTACCCCCAATGCATATTTTGGGGGTCTCATAAAAGCAAGGATTATTAAGTAGGTAAATTGGGTGTTTACCTCCAATTAAGAGTGCGAATTCCAGGAGTAGGTAAATTTCCATGTGTAAATGGAATACATTATAAGCGGCAAAACCTTAGGCAAGTTTCCTTATTCCACATACACGCCTCTGTTTACCTAGCAGTAAGTAGGAAAACAGTTGTTAGTTGATTGGTGGATCGCTTTCCGGGGGCAATAATCCCTTCCAAAAACAAATAATTAAATCATAATAATTTTGGTCACCCAATGTGGGACACTGCTGTTTGCAATTGACTGCTGCGTTTCACCCACAAAATATACAGTCACTACACTTTACAATATATTTCTTGAAGTATTTTGAGAAGTCTCGGAAGATGTGATACGGTACTATATCAAATGCAAGGATTATTATTTTAAAAAGGCCAGTATGAAAAATTAGCGCTGGCATTCTATCTGATCCCCAAATCTATAACCGCTTTTAATATCAAAATTCAGTTGTTTAAAAGGTATCTGACAATTCTATGCAATGGCTGTTAAGTGCATTTGCAATTTTTACATTGAACTTCACCAACTACCAGGTATTTGACATGTAGGTTGCTTGCAGGAAACTTATTATTATTGTAAATGATGTAACTGTACTGTAACATGCAATAAAATTACTGTAATGCGCAGTAACTGTTTGCAGAGGGAAGCACAATAGGTGGTGAATTGAAGCTTCTTAGTTCAGTGAACTAATAGGGCATTCAATTTTGCCTACAGGTTGTGTTCCATGGGAGGATATTAAATGGCCATGCACTCCTCTTTCCCCTCCCTCTCTTTTCTCTCCCACCCCCCCCCCCCACACATACACACACACACATATTTAAGGCAGCTTAAATGAAGCACTTGGCACCCTAGCCTGTTTTCTCAGATCTAATGGTTTTCATACAGCCTTGTTGGGTTGGCTCGCCTTTGGTCTGAATGTTGAACTGGGGGGCAAATTGCTAATTTGAAATTAAGTAAAGTTTGACTGATAACTTTTCTTGTCTAATGAGCAGAATATTGGAAGAAATTTCTTCCATGTGCTTGCTTTAATACGTCTGATTTGATTTGATAGTGATGAAAGGGAGGAAGATGATAATGACAAGAAAGAAGAACATGGTGAAGATGGAGAGAATATTCAATACAGAGAAGGAGAGAGGCTTTATGGGCCTTGGAACAAAATAACGCCTGCACAAATGCCTGTTCCTGTGGGTAAGTGCTGTGCTTGTTCTACAGATATTGAAATAAAGAGTAAAATTTGCAGGCATCTTATTTGTAAACTGTTCCTTATTTAAAGGATGTGTTTAAGAACACCAGCAGATGGCAACTCTCTCTTGGTAAGTGGTTATTCCACTAAGGGTTTCATTTTGTTTTTATCCTAGTGAAACTACTTTGTAAATTGTGGGTCCTACTTCAAGCTCTGTTTTTTTTCGTGCTTGTTTGCTCTCTTGGGTTTATTTAGCTAAAAGATCAAGATCCACATTCTCTGGCCAAAACGTTCCAAGTTAAATGTTACTTTCAGCAATTGGGCAGGGTTGGCCAAAAGCCTGCGTGTCAAATCACTGTAGTAGTAATAATCCTTGCATTTGATATAGCGCCTTATCATGCTTTTAGACGTTTCAAAGAACTTTACAGAATATACTTTTGAAGGAACTATTACCTTGGAAAAGCAATCTGCCAATCAACTAACAACCGGGTTCAACAAGACTATATTTGTATAGCGCTTTTCACGTCGGGAGGACGTCCCAATGCGCTGGACAGAGTACAGCGTTTCAGACCTGAGCTGGGGTTGGAGGGGTAAGGGAGAGGAAGGGGGGTGGCCGATAGCATGGTCGAAGAGGCGGGTCTTGAGGCGGGACTTGAAGGAGGCTAAGAAAGGGGCGAGACGGAGTGACTGGGGGATGGAATTCCAGAGGTTGGGGGCAGAGTGGCTGAAGGCTCTCCCGCCAATGGTGGGGCAGGTGGGTTGGTGGACATGGAGCAGGCCAGAGCCGGCTGAGCGGAGGGAACGGGCGGGTTGGTAGGGGGTTTGGAGGTCGTAGAAGTAGGGTGGGGCGAGGCCATGGAGGTCTTTGTATATGAGGACCAGGATCTTGAACTGGATACTCTGAAGGATAGGGAGCCAGTAGAGTCGGGCGAGAGTGGGGTAGATGGAGTCACAGAATTTGGTGCGGGAGAGATCATGGGCTGCAGAGTTCTGGATTATCTGCAGCCTGTGGAGGGAGGAGTTGGGAAGGCTGACAAGTAGGGCGTTTGCATAGTCGAGCCTGGAGGCAATAAAGGCATGAACAAGAGTTTCAGCGGCCTGAGGGGTGAGGTAGTGGCTGCGTTAGGCAATGTTACGGAGCTGACGGAAGGCAGAGTAAGTCATGGCTTGAATGTGGGGGAGAAAAGACAGTTGAGGGTTCCTACTTACAACAACAACAACAACAACAACAAGATTCCATTTATAGAGCGCCTTTCACGTCGGGAGGACGTCCCAAAGCGCTGGACAGTTGGGTCAGGACCCGAGCAGGGAAGAAATGGTCAGGGTGAGGGGAGGGAAGGGAGGGGGCGAGGAGGGGGTAGAGAGTTGAGAGAGGAGCTGAAGGCACGGTCAAGGAGAAAGGTCTTGAGACCGGCCTTGAAGGAGGAAAGGGAGGAGGCGGCGAAGGCACTGGGGGATGGAGTTCCAGAGCCTCGGGGCTGAGAGGCTGAAGGCCCGGCCACCGATGGTAGGGCGAGGGGTGTGGAGCAGATCGGAGCCAGAGGAACGGAGGGTACGGGTAGGTAAGTAGGGGGATAGTAGGTCGGAGAGGTAGGAGGGAGCAAGGCCGTGAATGGCCTTGTAGGTGAGGATAAGGATCTTGAATTCTTAACGCTAGATGAACAGAGGCGTGTGGCGTAAAGGAACTTGCCCAATGTTTGGCCTGCTGGGATTGAACCCAGGTCACACACTTGCAAGGTGAGTGCTCTAACCACTGAGCTACAGGACTCCCAATAGTTAATTTTTTGGCCTAAGAGAAGATGGACTTTATCCCTCTTAGACAGAAAAATCCTGGGAAAGCAAACTAGAACAAAAAAAACGATCGCTCACCTCAGTAAAATCAACTGGTGGTGCAGTATGGAGTAAACCATTTACCTGGAGAGGGCCATCACTTGCTGGTGTTCTAAAACTGGTGTTTTAAGAAATGTAATGGGTTTAGGAATTCCACAGATTTTAAGCAGTATTCATTTTTTGGGGATGAGTTGGCTTAAAGGTGACGTGGCTGGTGATGGGATATCAGAATCTAGTTTACCCTTTGTAGAGATCTATGTAGTCTGATAAGTGAACAGGGCATTGCCACAATACTCTGATCACTGTTGATGACAGACCAGACAGCCTGGCTTATTTGTAAGAATACTTAGAGGGGTGGATCTTTTCCACTCTGCTCTTGTCGCTCTGGGAAACCAAAACTAATGATGGTGATCCGAGCTGGATCAGCAGCAGCAAGCTTAGCAGTGTTCTCAATTGTAAGTTGTGTGGTTTTAGCTGATTACATTCCACTACCCCAATGCACACTCTGTGGGTACCCAATCCTTGATCCTGCTTAAAATCTCTGGTGCTGGCAGCATTACCATCCAGGGATGCACACTCCACCTCACTGAGCCAGTCTGGAACCTTGACGTCTTGTTTGGCCTTCAACTGTCCTTTCTACCCCAAATCCATGCCATGATCTGCTGTGCTTTTCTCCATCTCCAAAACAGCACTGCCTCTCCACTCAGGCCGCTGAGACCCTAATCTATGCAATCGTTACATCTAGGCTCAACTATGCCAACTCTGCTTGTTGGCCCTCACAATTCTTCCCTCCACAAGCTGCAGCTTGTGTCCTCTCCCGCATCATGCTCTGTGACCTGATTAACCTCGCCCGGCTCTATTGGCTCTCCATCCTCCAGAGGATAGAGTTCAAAATCTTCGCCTTCAAAGTCGTCGATGGCCTTGATCCTTCCTACCTCTGTGACCTGCTAACGACTTATCAACCTCTCCACTCAGCAGGCTTCAGCCTGCTCTCTCCCACCCCCTGCATCAGTCGTCAGGCTTTCGGGCTCTATGCCCCCACCCTTTGGAGATCCATTCCACAATCTATTTGCCTTGCTCTCTCCCTCACCTCCTTCAAGGTAGGTCTCAAGACCCTCATGTTCGCCTGCACCTTCGGACACCATCCTACCTCTGCCCTCCATCCCTACCGATCCCAACCCCCTGCTCGGTCTAAATCTCTGACTGTCCAGTGCCTGGGATGTGCTGCTAATGTGAAGGTGCTATACGAATGTAATTTGTTGTTGTTTTTGATCCTTGCCAACCTGTACCTGAACTCTAGGATTAGGTAATAATAATCGTTGCATTTGATATAGGGCCTTATCACGGTCTTCGAGACATCTCAAAGCTCTGTAAAGTGAATTAACTGTATTTTGTGGGCAAAACACGGCAGCCAATTGCGCACAGCAGCGTCCCACGAACAGCCGTGGATTGAAGCGACCAATTTATTGTTTTTTTCTTGAGGGATTATTATTAAGTGAGTGGAGTAAGGAAACTTGCCCAAGGTTTCGCCCTGCCGGGAATTGAACCCAGGTCTCTTACTTGCGAGGCGAGTGCTCTAACCACTGAGATACAGGACTCCACAGTTTGCTTAAGAATGATGGGGGAGGGTGTTACATTCCCAGCTGACCAAAAAAAAATCCCCAAGGATTGTGAAATATAGATACAGCTGCCAGTGACCGACCCATGTGTCTGGATGGTTGCCAGTTCCTCTTTTTATATACGATTTTGGCAAAATGGCTCTATTGGGTTCTAATAAAGTTCTAATTTAACTTAAGATCAACTGAATAGAAATGCCTTAATTAGCAAAATAAACTAAATCTAACTCTTCATATCTTTTATCAGATATATGGAACCATAAATTTGCAATAAAAGTTTGATAGTGTTCCAGTTTTAGGAAAACTGTCTCTAATGTATTAATTCAAAAAATTCCCTAGGCTGGCTGAAACACTTTCACTTCCCCCTAAATGTTTCTGTGCCCCATATAACTGCTTTGTGTATCCACTGATAAAGGGTAGGATGCATTTTATAAAGGGTTTTTAAATATGAGCATCTTGAGACCGAGGCGAAATAACCACTTGTTGTGGTGTTCTTGTGTTGAGGGTTAGAGGTTGGAAGTCCTGTGTAAAAAGCAAATAAATGAGGAATGCCGCACATGGTTTCGGCTGCGCTGGTTGTGAGGTACAGATGGAGGCGGACAGTAAGATAGAAAAAAGCATTTTGGAGAGGGAATGGATGTGGGGTAGAAAGGAAAGCTGGGGATTGAACCTGACACCTAAGTTGTGCAAAGGTTCAGTGAGTCTGAGGGAGAATCCGGGGAGGTTGAGGAATTCAGACCCGCAGGAGAGAAGAAATTGACGGGAGCCAAAGAGCAGGCTTTTCATCTTGCTGAATGAAGTTCAGCTGTAGGAGGATGACTGTTTCCATTAGTTGAAAGTAAAATGAATTTATTACAGCTGAAATATGTTACACTCACTCAGGCAGCTCTTTAAGGGGAGAGAGAGTACTTCCTTGATACTATCCACCCCCATAATATCTATGTAAGCAATCTGCAATCATAGTTGGATAGTATAACAAGAAAGGTAAGGTACTGTTGGGTATTCATAAAATTTGAAATATCTTTTGCCTTTTTAGCTTTCAAAAATTGTATTATTGGATACCTAACTGATTATGGCAGTGAAACTAAGTATATTTCCTTTTGTAAGTGAAATTAAAGATTTTGCCTTGACTAAAATCTTTTGGAGTTGAAATATTTAGCAAGTTGAATTATTTTTTGTTTAAATTGATACTCAAATGAAAATTCAGGGGAAAAATATGTGCAGCTGCTGGTTTGTGTCAGACCTCTAGAGAGCATCCATCTTAAATCTGGTATTGCAATTGTATTGCTTTGCTGCTAGAGATTCTTCAAGCCAGATCATGTTGCCCAATAGTAGCTTCTTTTCACAGGAATATAGTGTTCTCTATATTTTCTGAATAATTAAAATTCTTCAGTGGAGTTTTGTACTTTTTTTAGCGTTTAGTAGATTTGTTTTTTAAACAGTCGAGCTGATTTCAAACAAAGTAATTATCGGATTCTTTGCCTATTTGAAAATAAAGTGCCTATTTCAAAATGCTCCATTCTGTCATGCTTAGCTTTAGCCTACACGTTTCCTTTGCACACGCTCACAAAAGTTGAGATAGCTGAAATGGTGACCTAAGGTGAACTAATTTTCACTTCTGAGGAAGTGTCCTGCCTCTCAGCAACTAATCTGAGTTAGCGAATGACAAGGTAAGTTTGTTCCAATGATGCATGGAATATTGTTGTTGAGGATCATAGCCATGTTCTCAAGGTATTTGAACCTTTGTGAGAAATTCTTATTTTGTTTCTAACACAATTGTTACTCAAGTTTCAGAAGTCCCAGAACCAAAGCCAAGTGGTGTGTATAGGCCTCCTGCAGCTAGGTCGGGTATGATGAGACGAACTCAATTGCAAGGACCTCCAGAGATCTTCAATGACGCACAATTTCCATCCCTGCAAGCTTCTGCCAAGCATGTAGAAACCAGAAAGTAAGCAGTTGTATTAGATTTGTTTAAAGTAGTGATTATTATTGATTCTCTTTCTATGGGAACTGCCAGATATAGGTGTCAGTGTTACAACTCCTTATGAGAACTTTGTTTTGGGGGGAACCTTAATCTACTTGTCAGTGATTGTTTTCTTAGGTTCTTCATTTTCAGTTTTGAACTGCTTTTTACTGTTCATGTGGTTTGAAATGGATTCAAGAATTTTTAACCATGATATTAGCTTGCTATCCAGCTTAATGTCCCAAACCTTGCATTTGAGTCTCAGAGGATACGTTTTGTACGTTGTGCAGGTGGCTGTGCAATTAGCTGCTTATAATCCATCGTGTTTTCTCATTCATTTACAAAAGGAATCAAAAGGAGCATTTTTTGTTTCTAACAGTTGTGTAAAGAAAAATCCAAGTAATAAATCTGAAATTGCTAATTAAATTTGCCACTCCTTTTTTACTTGGTTTTAAAACAAATTGCCTGGAAACTTAAAAGCCTGTCTCCTCCCCACCCGCAAACAGTGAGTTAAGGGGTAAATGTAGTGTGGTACTGAGTCATACAGACCAGAAGATCCTTGGGTTTTCTCAGCCAGAGCAGTACATTTGGTTTAATACAGTTAAGCCATTGTTGTGAGTTAGAGAATGAGCTCCTGGTTGATATCCCGGGATCTCTACCACAATGATCACTCGGCTGTGATACCCTCAAAATTCAGTCACCCACCGATACTCTCATTGTAAACCTGATGCTTGGAGGAGCTACTGGAGGGTTTTCATTAGAATTGTATGTAATAATAGTCAGTGCCTTCAAATGGCCGGAGAACAGTATCAAAAAAAACTATAGATGAAGATCCATGGATTTTCTTAAGGCCAGAAGGTCCTATTGGGAACAGATTGTATATGTCAGACACTTGAAAAAGTAATATTTTTCAGTGTTCTGATTTATCTATATTGTGTGCATCCTTATTTGTTCAACCTCCACATACAGTTAATGAGGCTGCCAGGTTTGAATTGTCCCACTGCCATTGTGACTATGTGCATAAAGTATGGCAAATTTATCATACAAGAAAAAGCTTTGTAGTGCCAACAAAAAATTCAAAAAAGATTTGAGGGAAATGTTCCTAAGACAATTTTTTTTTACCAAACCCATTGTTTGATTATGAGCAAGTAATTCACATTAATCAATAGTGCAAGCCAGGCCTCTGTCATCAGGGAGGGAGAACTTACTTGTGAATGTGTGTTATGCACAACTAGCACTTTACAACGCCTGCAATTGATGCCTCCAATATTGTGTAGTTTGCCACTCAAGTTTTTTTTTAAAAAAACTTTTTTTTCCCCCCAGGGGACATTGCTGTTAAGGAATTGAAGTAGTGCAAGTCCCTCTGATATTTCACAGTTGGCAATCGACTGGATTGCAAGTGTTAACAGAGTCGGGGGTTACTCTTTTAAGAGATCCCACAACGGAGCCAGCATAGAGGTGCTCTTCAGTAGGTGGTGATTCCAGAATAGTAAAGTAGGATATAATTTTAACTGAGACTGATTGCTCTGGAATCTGCATTTAATGCTGCACCCTCTATGGTGTAGGATTTGGGCTATTGCTATCCATGAATTCTGAATGTTCAAATGAAGCATTTTGCACATTGGTCCCAGATACCTTGAGATCTTATTCAACACAAGGAGGAATGACATCTTAAGATGACCTTGAGGCAGATAGCTGCTCTGCCACCAATTAACAGCCTGGTGATCACATTCGCATAGTGGATCCACCATATGCCACAGTGTGTAAACTGGCTCTACTGTTAGGGCGCATATCTGTAGAAATGGTGAGTATGTATATATTGCCTATTGTTGGTGCCGTGCATTGAGAATAAAGCTGGTCTAATGGCACTGTTCTGGATGCCACTTGTAGCTCCATGGAATAATTAATGAAGCAATACTGCCATGGTTTGACGATGCTTTCATGCTGTGATTTTATACCAGTCTCGTTAAGCTGGAGAACCTCTGACCTTTGCTTTCTGTTCTGCTTTGGTAAAATTAATTTGTTTGTGGATGTTGAATGAAATAGGAGTATTAGATTACCTACCTAGGTAAGTCTTCCTCATTTTTTAAAAAAAAAGTAGTTCAACCTCCACATACAAACTCCCTGTAAGCTGACCCTCCACAATTAATTTCTCTCTGGCCTGCTGCAATCAGAACAAACTTGTCTTGTGTTTTTCATTGCGTGCATCATTTTGGTCTCTGCTGTTCGCTCTTTTCATTAAACTGAAATGCCTTCCCAGCCTATGCATATCTTGGTGGGGGAAAAAAAATCACACGATCAGCACGACTACTTTTTAGTTTCAAAGGGGACAGTGTGCCTGTGGTTTTTCCCCATTTGGACAGCCTATTCATTTGTATGTGGAGGTTGAACTACATTAAAAGAATGAGGAAGACCATACTGATGGTAGGTAATCCGTCATTTGGTCTATTTTCTAGTTTTGTGTTACAGAAGGTGAGCACGTTTGCCCTCCTGATCATTATAACTTGTTTTCCAGAGATAAAGAAATGGAGAAGACCTTTGAAATGGTGAAACATAAAAACAGAGCCAGAGAGGATGGTTCTAAAAGTCAGTCCGTTCAGCTGGAACTAGGCAACCAGTTTGCTGTTCTTGGGGAGCAATAAATGTTGATAACGTAATTTACAGACTGCTGCTCTGTGTTCCATCCCAGGTAACTAAACTACAGCTATGGAACCCATCTGTCTTCACCCTACAATGCCAGGAAATACGTAATCCAGCTGGTGTAGGCTTCTGTGGACAAACGAGGCATCTGTGCAAGGCATCATGAGAATTTTAAGTTTGAAGCACAATAACTGCTGTCATCTACTGTGGACTGGAGTGAAAAGGGGTTTGAATGAAGTGTCAGTTGCTCGTGGAGGGACTTTTTTCATAAAGATGAGAAATGTGGCCGTTTAAAGTGGTCATTTGTTCAGAGTCCTGCTTTCTAGTTGAATGTTAAGCCTTCTCAAAGGTGACTACCTCAGTTTGGGAGTGAGAACTGTGGACACTGATTTTTGACTGTCTCGTTTACCACCTCAAGTTTGCTATCATTTCTTTAAAGAAAGGGTTACAGGGCCACAGATGAACATTAAACTGCTAAATTCCTGAGATTGGGAATATAAATTGTATAAATCAGTCTACAAGTTCTATATTTCAGACTGCACACCTTTTTTAAGTGACCTTACTGTAAAATAAGATCCCATGTGGTGTCCATCAAGAGCATCTGCTTTTCAGGCTGGGGCTAAGTGACTGCATGCAATGACTTGGACCACCACTTCCCTTCATAAGATTATTCTTAGCATATTTTTGATGGCTGTATTACAGAGCTGCTTACCCAGAGCAGCATCTTGCCTACATCTCACTTGTGGTAAGAGAGCATTCATTGCCTGTGGTCTGAGGTAGATTTGTTCCCTTTGTAACAATTACATACACTGCAGCTTTCCACTTGGTTTAGAAATGGCATCATCAATAACCATATGGCCCTCCAATCTGCTTCCTAAGATCTGCAGAAGCAAACTAGCACTATCTGTGGTGTTACTAGTAGTTTTAAGAAATAATCGCTGATCAAGCACCAACCTGTAAATATTAAACAGGGTGTAAGCTTGCAACAAATGTTCCTTTTAAACCGTGAGCATAGTCTTACTCAAACACACCAACTGAAGTGTTTGTTGGTGTGGATTTATTAGTGATGACACTTCCATATTTAAACCTTTTGAATGTTTGGTCACTAAATCTTGAGGTTGAATTTAATTTGTCCCATGTCATTGACAAAAAAAGACTTGTTGATTGAGATGGGGGGGAGGGAAGGTTTAAGGTTATGGTTTAAACAATATAACTGCTGTACACCTATTTATGATGACTTTGGTATAGCAATGTTTTCTTACTGTTTTGATTTTAAAGCAACTGATATTTTTAAATTGGACATGATCTAAAATGCGATCTCCTTAAAGACCGTTTGTGTTCAAATTCCCTTCATTTTGGCTTGTAATAGAATTGATTTCCAAAGAGAGAACAGCTACATTTTTCTTGGAATAGACATTCTGGGTTTGTTGTAAGATGCACATTCAGACACATTCTGTGCTTGTAAATGGAACAGCAGCTATTGTCTGAACACTTTGAATCCTGGGCACGTAATATGGCTGTACTGGAGAAAACTGTCAAATGAAATAAATCTGTAAATCTGCATCACATGATTGCTTCTTTTTCAAATTATTTTAACTACATTACAGTATTTGTGCTACTTTATTGAAGTCTGGGAAAATTGAGTGATAGTAAATGTACTGTAAACATTAATAGTCCTCACTGATGCAAAACATTCACACAACCAAAGGCATAGATTTTCAATAGAAAAGCCTCACGATAGGATTTGTTTCCTCTCCACACCATGATTATGTGGAACAGATTTTCAACAAAAACAGTGAGTGCTGAAGACTAATGCCTTAGTTAAGTGTATGAAATCATATCTGAGCAATAACAGACCAAGCTGAATGTGTCCCATAGATTACAATAATTTCTACAGCACTCGGGGAGAGGGTGGGGGGCAAAGGATGACCAGATGAGGGAGTGAGTATTCAATTGAGGTAAGGATGTTTGGTTTGAATGATGAGAATGGATGAACCTTCTGCCAATTAATTAAGTGTTTAGCGAAATAGCTAGGCAGAACTTGCTCTAGGAAGGTGGTGGTGGAGTCCAATAGGGTAGGTTTTGTACAGTCTGAAAAGAACAGGCTTAATTTGGTCTCATTCTGTACATTTATCTTGTAATAAAACAAGTCCTGGATGAGAGCTTCAGCTGGATGTCAACAAGACTGAGGCCCACGTGCTCGACTCCCATCAGTGCCTCCACACCTCGGGTGTGTGTGGGTCAGCATCCGAGGTGTGGAAGCGCTGATGGGAGCCAAGCGGGAGGTGCACACTCCACACCTCACTCAGCCGGTAGGGAACCTTGGTGTCTGACCCTCAACTATCCTTTATACCCCACATCAAATTTGCAGGGCTATGGGGAGAGAGCAGGGGGGGTGGGATTGATTTGGATAGCTCTTTTAAAAGAGCCAGCACAGACACGATGGACCAAATGGCCTCCTTCTGTGCTCTATGATCCGTGCCATGACCTGCTCTGCCTTCCCCACCTCCGCAACATTGCCCAGCGTGTCCTCTCACTCCCCAAGCTCCCTATGCCCCCCACCCTCATCCAGCTCCACTGGCTCCCTGTCCCTCAGAGTATAAAGTTCAAAGTCCTTACATGCTACATTTCCTTTCTGTGCCCCAGTCTAATTAGTCTGAACCTAAATTCATAAATCAGTGCCTCTACAGTGAAATCCAATGCTCCTTTCTTTGATCCAGTAAAGAATTTGAAGTATTTTCCCCGGGTAGCAAATGTGGACTTTCCGTTCCTGTCCTGTTGTGTGGCCTTGCTCTTTCTGTGCCATAGGACGTTGGTAATTGCCGGGAGCTGATGTCACTGGGGAACGTACAGTACAGGAAAGGAACAGTTACTCTGAGATTACCTACAATAGTTGCAAACAGATATGACCCATTTTTCTTTTAATTCTGTATATTTCAAATCAGCAATTTAAAAGAATATTTTCCTTCAAGAATGGATGTAATTATGAAAGTGCATGCCCCGTTGGACTGTTGAATACTTAGATTGCTTAGATCCAAATTTGGAGTATAAAGATGTTATTTTTTGTGCTGGAAGGTGGTGAACTGCCTATTATATAACCAGGTACAGAGTGGAAGCAGCAGTGATGCATATAAACACAGGGATAGGATAGATGGATGGCTCAAGCTGAAAGGTAAGGCTCAATTTGAATCAAATACTCAGATGACCAATTACAGGGAGGATATCAAGGCACACATCTAATGGTAACATCTGAACGATAAACAGCAGGGTGAAAGGCAAAAAGGAAAGATTCTCAGTCTGGGTCGGTTACTCTTAAATATGGGGATGGTTGTCTGTCCACATGTGTGAAGACACCTGACTGACCAATTAATGATAACATCTCATCACTGACATTGGTTTTCTGGTTTTATCATCTATTGTCAGAAGCAACAACACACTTAATAGCTTATAACTAATACTAGAGGCCAGCTGTGCAATTTTACTTTGATATCAATGTGACAGAGCTTTTAGCAATTTTTGTTGGAAACCCCACAGGAAAACAACAATGTAAAAAAAACTCATGAATAAGATACTAATTATAACATTAAAAAATATTTTTTGGGTGAGATGGGCATTTCAGATTAAGGACACTTTGTTTTGTCAAACTTTTCTATGCTTTAACTTCTATTTTAAATGTGTGCTGCTTAAATATAAAACAGTTAACCTTGTAATTCACTTTGAAAAACAAATCAAATTTGCAAGCCAGTAAAATGATAGTAGGTGTGAAATCAGTTGGCAGCAGTCACCATTGAGTCAGAACATTTAGGGTTCAAGCCCCACTACAGGACTTTGAACTTGCATAGTCTGGAGTAGACTGTCACTTCAGTGCAGTTCTGGAGGAGTGCTGCATTGGACGAAGGTGCCATCCTTTGGTTGAGAGGTCCTGTCTGCCTGATCAAATGGATGTTAAGATCCCATTGAACTATTTGAAAAGAGAAGGGATGTTTTCTCTGGTGTCCTGGAGCAACAATCCCTCGCATAAAATCTTATTCACTTCATGACTGTTTGTGGGACATTGCTGAATGCAAATCAACTGCTGTGTTTGCCTACAAAATACAGTCACTGCACTTGAAATGTCCTCCTGATATGAGAACTACTAAATGTAAGGATTATTAAATTAAAAATATAAATCCTTGCATTTGATATAGAATATTCAACGTTAGGAGGACATCTCAAAGGGCTTCATATGAATTACTGTAAAGTATAGTGACCAGTTTGTTATAATATAAAATTGATTTGTGATTTTTGTTTGAGAATACTATTTTCACCGGAGAACTTGTAAAAGTGCACCTTGTGGCCAGTCTATAGCACCAGCACCGGCCCCTTTTCTGTATTGATCAGCTTTGGGAGCTTGACACACCGCTGTGGTCCTCACTGCTGGGCAATCCACCCACTGGCCATGCCGGAGTCACAACACTGGTCAGGCATTATGCGAGGACCAAAAGGTTAAAGTTCCAAAATGTCACATTGACTCCAATTTTGGGAATTTGCCATTTGTTATATGGAATCTCATTCACTGACTTTGTGGGAGTTTTATACGGCTGGTAGTTCTGTGGTTATCGAGCTCTACTTTTTCTTGAGACATCTTAGATGAAAGAGCACCTGGTTTCTCAAAGCTTTGATGTATTGGAGCAACAGAGCGAGTGACTATTATGGGGATTACATTGTGAATTTTACTACTGCTCTGGGGAGGTTTCTCTGCAAGTTCTTTTGAAACAAAAATCTAAATGTCATTTTAAAGTCAGTAACTTTTTAATGTAATTCCAGCCTGTAACACTGGAATTACTATGTGCAATCCTAATCCTAAATCAAGTGCTGAATAGAAAAAAATATTTTCTTTATTCATTTTTGGTATACCATACATTCATCAAATGTTTATATGACAGAAGCTGTTGAGTCTATCTACCTGTGCTGGTACTGGTTTCCCTACTAACCTCTGCACTACCTTTAATCCCATTCCCCTGTAATGTATTGTTTAATCTTCTTAAGTATTTATCTCATTCCCTTTGAAATTCTGTTATTAAGTTATATGGATTATATGGATTTCAACAGCTATTTGAACATTTATATTAACATTTCAAATGCCTATTTCTTAAATTTACTTTTTTTGTCAGCGGAGTGCCTGACACATATGGAAACCCATCACCAACACCAGTATCCAAACCCGACTTGAGAGTTCCACTTCTGTGTCACCTACGCATGGAAATTTCCCTTTGTCTGGAATGGAATACGCATTCTCCCTTGAGACGTACTTTGCTTTATCTAATTCCAGAGGTTTTTTTTATTTATAATGTTATAGCTCACATTTATCTTTCGCTGCTCTCTTTCTAACTAACAGAATGCATTTGTGCTCTCAGAGCTGCCTGAGGGAATGAGACCTAACAGCCTTAGTAGACTAAATATTTTTGTGTCTGATACTTAATGCTCATAAATATTTGACTTACCTTCGGTTGAATTGCTTTTATAATAACCGATGAAGTGAGTGGTTACACATCTATCACTTTGTTCTCATTTTCTTTGCAGGTACTGTTAACTAATATTGAGGGTTCGCTCTCCATTCATCAGTCCTCAGTGCTGGAGACCAGATAGAAAGATTCCGCAACTCTACGAAGAAGTGTAGTGAGAGCATATGAATGTATTCATGTCTTGGATTTGTAACTATTCCACATACAAAGTAAATCATTAATAAAGTTCTAGCATTACACTTCTCCAGTAAAGTTGTCTGTGATTTTTTGAAGCTCTCTAGTGTTGCATGCAACTAGTGTCGATCGATGGGTCAATAATCCAATGTAGGTCCTTGAGGTAGGAGGGGAGTGAATAAAAACATTTAAATTTAAAAAGTTAAACATTGCCTAAGTAAAGCTTAAGATGTGGAATTTCTGGTTCTGTGGGAAAAAAATAATTGTCATTATTGACAGTTGCGTTATTGTCTAATTCCTAATATAATCTGCTATATAGCACAACATGGATAAGAAAAAAAGGTTACTGAGTGCATTGACCTAAATGAAGGCATGTGTGGAAGGTGTGTAATCAGAAAGGTTCAATAATGAGTGGAGCTGTCTGGTGTAAAGGCAAATGGCTCTCCAAAGCTTTCAAAACCAGAGTTGTGTAATGGGCAAGAAAATCGCAAGAAGAATGGCTAAAAGCAATCATGGAAGTCTGAACTCTACAAATGGTCTCAGGGACACATTTGCAGATAGGAATGGGAGACTGCAGAGGGACATACTGTCTGGACCACAGGTCTAATTTGAAATGACCATCTATCCCCTGGAAGCTGGACATTGTTCTCAATTCTTCAGGAAATTGAAAATTATTCATTTTAAAAAAAGTGAAACTCAAAATGTATTTTACCAACTTGGGAAGTGAAATCTGTGCTGGAAACTGCAGGTAACTCACTCCCACCCAGGAATACTGCACATTTTGCCAGCACAAAAAGGGATTCTTAAATCCCAAACTTACTGCGAAGAACGGGTCAAAATTGCATTCTGTACTCTTCACTATTGACAATTATCACATATTATCCATTGAGACGACATTGTTGTAGTGATTGCTTCACCATAAACATGCTTTCACTTACTAGGAAAATTAATCTAATTTGTATTTTTTTCATGTTTTATGTGCCATGATATCTATAGTAGATATAATATATAACTGACCCATGAAGTAAGGGAGGGGCTAGGGACCAGCAGCATTGGAGGCCTGTCACAGCCTTGCCAGCACAACCCAAGTATCTGGCCACTCGACTGCAGAGGGCGTTATAACCAAGTTTAAACTCTCCCCACTTGGCTGTCAAACAAGTCCACTTAATCTCCACAATCGGTTTCTCCTCTAGCCACCACACCATCTCGTGTGGCATTCCTCAGGGCTCTGTCCTTGCTCCCCTCCTCTTTAATATATGCTCCCTCTTGGTGACGTCATCTGCAGACATGGGGTCAACTTCCACATGTATGTGGATGACATCCAACTCTATCTCTGCCTTTACCATTGACTCCAGGACCACTGCTGTGCTGACAGAATGTCTGTCAGACACCAAGTCCTGGATGAGAGCTAACTTTCTTCAGTTGAACGTCAACAAGACCGAGGCTCTTCTGATTGGATCCCGTCAGCGCCTCCTCACCTCAGGCGCTGACAGCATCACCATCCATGGATGCACACTCCACCTTGCTAAGCCGGTCCAGAACCTTGGGGTCTTGTTTGAACATCAACTATCCTTTCTACCCAACATCTGCACCATGACCCGCTCTGCCTTCCCCACCTCTGCAACATCGCCCCGCTCTATTAGTGTCTCACACCACAGGCCGCCAAAACCCTCATACATGCCTTCATTACATCGAGGCTCGACTATGCAAACTCACTGCTTGTTGGCCTCCCCAACTCCTCCCTCCATAGGCTGCAGATCATCCAGAACTCTGCAGCCCGTGTCCTCTCCTGCACCAGGCTCCGTGACCCTATCACCCCCATCCTCGCCCAACTCCACTGGCTTCCCATCACACAGAGGATACAGTTCAAAATCCTGTCCTCACCTTCAAAGCCCTCCATGGTCTTGCTCCCCCCTACCTCTGCGACCTCCTAAGCCCCTGCCAACCTCCATCCTGTAGTCCCTCTGCCTCGCTCCCTTTGAGACCCATCTCAAGATCCTCCTCTTCGACCGTGCTTCCAAAACACTGACTGTCCAGCGCCTTGGGACGTCCTCCCAAAGTGAAAGGTGCTATACAAATTGTGACCTGAAATGAAGAAATGCATATACAACCAGAGGACAAGAGCAGGAATCCTGGCTGGTTTCCCATTCTCACCCTGCAGGCTCAGGCAGTCCAGCCTTTACATGTACCTGCAGCAAAACAGCAAACAGCATGGACCAGGATTCAGACCTGGTCTGTAAACTGCAACGCTATCCATGACACAATTGGGACTCCCCTGGAATCATTATGGATGTACAAGCTTTTGATCAAACAGCCCATACCTGATCCACATACAACCAGACAGACGTTGATTTATTGGGTAGGCACTTCACATTCCTAGTCCTTAAAGGAGTTGTAACGCTCTAACTCTAAGCATAAATGTTTGCTAAAATGTGGTCTTGTTTGTTCATCCACCATGTTATATATTGCTATTAGTAGCTACCCCTCAAGTTCACCAAAGCAGCCTTCAACTCTCCTCCCTACCATTCCTGTTGGTAATAAAGAACTTGTATTTAAGCAAATGCTTATCACATCAATTACCATTAAGTGACATGACAATTTTTATAGGTGAACACATATTCATTTGTACATTTACACAAGGTCGCACAAACAGCTATGAGGTAAAGAAATTTATTTAAGTATACAATCAAATATCTAGTTTGTAGACAGAATAAACATAAGAGTCCTGATAAATTCATTTCAACTGGATATTTTTAATATTGCCGAGTTGCATCTTCTAATGTGTCAGGATAAAATTGTTCATTGCACTTGCTGGTTTTATGAATCACATTTCTTCACAAATGTGAACAATGTGAACTGAGAAAAAATGTGTTGAGTTATCAGAATGTAATTTCTTGTGCTGAGCTGAGGGTGGCTGGATACTGAGAGTAGGTTCAAAGGAGAAATATAAATAATTGGAAAAAAAGATACGTTTTTAGCATCAGAACTCTTCAAGTGATTTTCGTTTCCGAGATATCCCCATTCTGGGGTCTTGTAAAAGCTGCACAGCTTCAGGAAGAAAGTAATTTTCTACTGAAGGAGGAGACTCCTAGGGAAAGAAATGGGAAACATTTAATCCAACAAGAAGTAGTCATATGGTAGCAGTTAAAGAACACTGAAGGGTTCAGGTAATGAGTAAGAGAAATAAAGTAGAGATAGATCCACTGGGGAAGCGAGCACGAGCACTGACTCAATCGTCCAAATGGTCCCCTTCTGTGCTGTAAACATTCTATACTTCTATACGTAACAAAACACCTGAAAAGCTCAACAATACAGCACAGTGGTCACTGAGCAAGAAGTGGGAAGAATTCAGAAGCGCTGAAGGGAAATCAAAAAGAGAATCCATAAGGGCCATGTTAAAATCATTTTAAAAATCACTGCATCCTTTCCAATCTGATGCTAGGCATGCTGTGAGTTGTATGTGTGGGATGCTGGTAATTAATAATGAAGAAGAATGTAAAATTGTACACTTTAAAAATATAAGAGATCGGTAAAATAATTCAGGGAATTCTCTACATTCAGGTAACAATTGTAACCTCTTGTCCTTGCCAATTATCCCTGCTGTCTGAACCCCTCAATTATAATTATAATGAAAATAATTCACTGCCCGGGAATTGGACCTAGGTCCTCTCGCTCGTGAGACATATAGGAGTCCTGTAGCTCAGTGGTTAGAGCACTCGCTTTGCAAGTGAAAGACCTGGGTTCAATTCCAGGCAGAGGGCGAAACCTTGGGCAAGTTTCCTTACTCCACACGCCTAATAATAATCCCTCCAAAAGCAATAATAAATTGGTCATTTTCAATCTACGACTGTTTGTGGGACACTGCTGTGCGCAATTGGCTGCCGCGTTCGCCCACAAATATACAGTCAATTCACTTTACAGTGTGTTCTGTGAAGCGCTTTGGGACGTCCTCCCGACGTGAAAAGCGCTACATCAAATGTAAGGATTATTATTATTATTAAATACTCTAACCAATGCACTACAGGACTCCAAAGTAGCCAATTTGTGCACAGCAAAGTCCCACAAGCAGCCATGAAATGAATGATCCAACATTATCTGGAGGATTGTTGACCAGGATACTCGACTTTTCAAATAGTGTTCCAGGATTTTAACATCCAGGCAGATAGGGCCTCTGTTTAACATCTCAGTGTAGACAGTACTTCCAGCACTACACTGCAGCAGCAGCTGTAACTGCGGTCAAAGACCTAATGTGGGCTTAAAACCCAGAGGTGAGATTGTTATTGACCGAGCCATTCTGATCAATTATATCACTTTGAGGTAAATTCTACTAGGCACAGATCATAACCTTTATCATAAAGTCCCACTATTATAATACTGATTGTGTGAACCAACCTGCATGAGATAGTCTGCAATGTACTCTGGCTTGAGGCACATCACTCTTTGTTTAACAGCCTCAGCAACATTCACTCGCGGGTCATCCGGCTTTAATTTGCTGAAGTCAGCAAACAGGTGGGTTGCGCCCCTGTAGTCAAATGGCAAATGGCTGGGAGAAACCTGCAATATAGAGAGCAAAACATTCACTCAAACAACACAGCAAAACATTTACTCAAACAACACAGCAAAACAAGTGGTTGGAGGGGGTGGGTGGGGAGGGGGAATGTACATTACTTACCTAGCTAAATCCTACCACATTTGGGAGAATTTGGAATCGAAAATTAAGAAAGTGAATTAATATAAGGGAAAGACAGAAAATAAAAAAAGTGCTTTGACCAGCAGGACGGATATCAATGGTAGTTTCCAGTCTTATGTAACAAAGAGGCTTGACTATAACCAACTCCTAGGTGAGTATACAAATCATCACTGTTCTGCACTCAGATAAGACTATAATAAGGATAATAACGTACAAATGGGTGACTTGAACTGACCCACATAGAAACATGGATATTTCCCACATGGAAATATCATGACCAGAAATATCCACAGAATCAACTCCAGATTGAGAAATGGAACTTTGGCCCAATACAACAACCTGTAATGATCAATATCTCATCCATAATATAGAATACTAGAGTGTCTCATGTATACATGATCTTTACATTCAAGGTTAATTGGCTATCAACACAAGCGAACATTATGATAAATTTGAAGCATTCCTAAAGACGTACTTGATTGACAGGAAATTATCCTTAATGACAGGTTTGGGACTGAACGCCCAAGATCACAAGACTGGTTCAAATGAAGAAAACCCTTCGGCCTATTTGATCTCATCCTTCCAGAATACCACCTCTCATTACAGCATCAAGCTGTATATTAATGGAGTCCATTGTCTTGGCCTCACGAAAACAACAGCATTTATACCGAGCCCTTCACATGGGGTAGTGTCTTGGAGGCTTAACAATGGCAGAGCTCAACACTGAGACCATGATTTTAAAACAGTTTCTCTCTCAGGCTTCCTTCCCAAAGTCAATTTTAAGGTTTTCTTAAAAAAAAAATTGGATTCACAGACTCTAAAATGTCTTTTTAATTTTACATTTTTACTTTTAAGAGAATTTTTAGGCTGGCAAAGAATCACAAAAGAAATATGATATTTTCTGTCTGCAACCAGGTAAGACGTTCTCGGTTATTGCTGATTTTAATGAGTATTAAAATTCTTAGGAAGTAACCAAAATTGGAAAACAACCATCAAGAGAGACAGGGAAGGTCAGGAGTGTTGGGGAGATGTTTGAATTTAGGAACAGTCTTGGTAATGTAACCGCAAATGTACAAAGACACACATTTTAATATATAACATTTTTAAACTTGCATTCATACCATAAGCATTAAGGACATAACCCACCTTAGCTCCACCTGAAAGCAGTAGTCGTCTGAATCCCGCCTCCTTGGACTGATCAACATTTAAAATAATCTTCCAACCACTAAACGCACCAATCTGCAGAAATAACAGGGCAACAGGTCTCAGTCATATACCACACGCATTCAAACCTCTGTCCATAAAATAAAATCATGCAGGATTCATCCTTCGCATCAAGAATAATTTAACTGGGAATCATCTGAACAATTCATTCCTCTTCCCAAAGTTTGCATGGAATACTGGTTTGTAAAGATAAAATCAGTTATTATTTCTCATATGGACAACGTGTCTCTTCTGGGGTGTATCAGCACAGCACTGATTGATTCCTTTTAATTCACTTTTAGCTCTCTCTGACACCATGTTTGCCTTTTCACTTTGCTATTATAAGTCAATCACTGGACTGTCCCTTTCAGAACCCAGGTTATCAGTAGAATATTGGGAAGTGCTGGAGTTCTCCTTTGGGGACAGGAGATCCTGGGTGTCCAGCAATAACAGGAATCAATTTTCCAGACAAATCAAAGGTCTAAGAGCATAATTCTTTGCAAGTTCAACAAGGAACAATTCAAATCCTTTCAATCTTCCCAACATTGAATTCCTGAAAACCTGGCACATGGTGCTTCCATGCATAGTTTATTTTCACAACTTCACCCACTTGCAACTGACTGAACAGAGTCAAGTAGCCTGCTAACAAATCAAGGGGCATCAAATGAAGATTTTTTTAAAAACAGAAATATTTTTTAATAAGTTAGAAATACAGAATAATTCTTATTTTTTCTCTTATTAAGCATTAATTTTTTTGGTGTTTAAGTTCACTGTATTGACTCTTTAGAATCCATTGATTGACATGTATCAGGAACCACTGATACAAGCATTTGTGTCTTGGTATAAACCAAATTACCTGATATTACCTGCATCAAAAACCATCATGGTGAAAATTGAGTAAAATCTACTGCAAGTCAGAAATCCTCCTATTTAACTTTCATTGTACATTTAGCGGCATAACAGGGTACTGTCAGACACAACTGTAACAAAGACACTGCATACTGATCCAATATGAAGTTTCCACAAGCCCAGTGAGAATACCTCCACAGAGAGCACTCTGACAAGGGGAAAAAGAAAACTATGACAACAGACAAATTAACCCATCTTTTAAACCCAATCTGCAGATTACCAAAGTGTAGGCTTGGGAACCTGGAATTTCTTAAAGGAAAAATGTCCCCATGAAATTCCCAACAGTCTGGATTAAGGGGAATGTAATCTAATGGTGTGTGGAGGATGTGAGAATGAATTTGAAATAAACTACAAGGAAATGGGGGGAAAATGCGTAGATATATGTGACTGAAAGGAATATTCTTAGAAGAGCCAGCACAGACATGATGGACCAAATGACCTTCTTCTGTGATGTAAATGTCTATGAAGAATACCTCCACATCAGTGCTCTCGAGCCTTTGCTTCTCCAGCCTTTTCCTCCACATCATGGCCGCTACTGCCAGCTTCTTCTGCTGCACACCAAGATTTGGCAGAGCGTCCAGCACAAAACTGCTTCCCCACTCATATGTTTCCTCCTGGTAAAGAAAATGAGTATTCATAAATTATTCCTATGAAGATTAACAAGTTAAATCATCAATAACCTGCTTTACACCAAAACAATGTCTCAGCAGGAAGACACCCGGCACAACACTAAGCACTGTGGAAAAGACAAACAGGAGTGGGCTATTCAGTCCGTCAATCCTCCTCTGCCATTTTCTTATATCATGGGTGACTCAAACTCAATGCAGTACCATTTGTCTGACTTTTCTCCCTACCCAATGCCCTTATCAGTCAAGTGTTTAACTACTTCCCTCAAACTTTCCCACTGGCTTTGCATTCAGTCCTTTTAGGAATTCTACAGCTCTTGGGTAAAGAAATTCCTCCTGATTTCACGACAAACAGGTAGGCCACCCTCTATTTTTTAGATAATGCCCTCTTGTTCTGGAATCTGCAACCACAGGAAAGAATCCTCACTCACTCTGTCAATTCCTTCACTATTTTAAAGACTGGGAATGTTTTCAGTTCAAATCTGACTATGATGAGTGAGCTAATTGGGGACATTACAATTGACTTCAGTGGCAGGCAGGAGAAATAATCTCCAGAAGCTCCTATTCCTGATCAAAACCAGTGATCTTTGCAGGAAAGTTGGATGAGGCCACATCTGGGCTCAACTGTTATTCTCTTCCGTCCTCTGGTCAATTCCTCTCTGGTCACTGGACTCACCCATGAAGAATGGCCACTCAAAATACCACAAGGCTTAATAGTTGCCTGTTTGATAGTTCAGCTCAGGCACTTTCCTGGCCAGCACGGCTCAGTTTCATAATGGGCTGAAACTTTCCCAAACTAAGGCATCCAGGAATCCGCATTCCTCTCACTTAAGTTAATTTGCTGCAAAACACAACCTGGATAAATTTGGCCGCAGTTCTGCAAGCTTCCAAATAGGATCGATGAAGGACCCACTTCCCAGCTGCCATGGAAGCCAAGTATTTTTCGTTTCGCAGGGGCTGCCCCACAATGATGTGCGTGCAGGAAGGGTCAAAGCACTGCCTGTCCAGCACCACTCCATCTGAATCAAAACACAAAAGAGCACTGTCAAATCCAGTCTGTCCTCAAACAGATCATAAGTACTAACTGAAGACATGCTACTATCACAAAACGGCAGCATTATTTTGAGCACAATTTGTTATCTCAGCTTTTTCTTTCATTCTAAAATGTATGTTTCTAGCAAAACAAAACTCATTTCAGGGGTATTACCCCACCAAATAACTGCTAAATATGAGATTTGTGTGGCTTGCCAATGACAAATCAAAGCTTCTTAAGTTGCAAGGAGCAAAAGTTTGAGAAAACAGGTCACTGGGAGCACTGCACACCTTCATACAGTTGTGCCAAAAATATTGATACAGTCCAGTAAAAGCCAACAATAAATAATCAAAAATAAACAGAAGGATATTAATAGCATACTTTTGATATAAATATGTTCATATGAATATAGTAGACTCCATTTACAAAGCTGACTAGAAGAGCTGGGAGTGAAAACCACCGGCACCAGTCTCCAGCAGCTGCTGAGATGCAAATAGCTTTGCAATAGCATTTCAAGCCTCTCTGTAATACAACAAACCAACATGTCTTCTGTGGGTTCCTGGAAGGTTTCAGTGGCGTAGGAGCTGAGGACCCTGGAGCCTAATGGTGCAGTGTTGAGGGTCGATTGTACATTTAAGTCTTCTTAGGCAATAGGAACAGGAGAGCGTTGTTAAGACATTGAGCTTTTTATGGTTTTGACACATTTTAATCCCATTTCCTCACCTTTTCTATATATTCCTCAATACCCAAGATGCCACCCAGCAACCCAGCCTCCTAACAATATTCAGCTTGTTTGTACAACGCTCTTACTTCATACCCAGCAGATTCATTCAACCGTGGCAGACCCCAACTGGAGTGGATCATAATGCAAGTGAGATACAAATCATATTTTTGTGACAATGTCCATTGACCTTCTCTACTGCAACACACCCCAGTAAGTACTACAGCCAGATTCTCAGGTGAGGAACTTTTCTATTCTATTCACTTCTTATTACTGTGGTGATTCTTTCCCCTTGAAAAGCTAGACTAACCTGGAATTCTATATTTAAATCTTAGCCATGCAATACTGGATACGGAAGGTCTTTAACTGGCTAAAATGGTCTACCGTAGTTTACAATATAACTTTAGATTCAATGAGATAGGAATGTTGAAATAGCGCTACACAGCGCTGGTCCTGACATTCCTATGTTTACGCTGTTTCTCATTAATGTCCGTGTTTCTTACTTGGATTGAAGTAGTGACTTTTCCAAAAGTGTATAATCAATCAGTGCAGAAAAGATCACACAGCAATTAGAATACCACAATGTATTTGTTTAAAACAAAAAAGGATAATACTGAATCAAAATCACACACCTAGCTCCTCAATGAGATGGCAATAGTCAATTCGCTCCTGAGGGTTGAGAGAAGATAACTGGAATCTGCGTTGAACGTGCACTTCTTTCGTCTTACTCTGATTAACGTGAACCTTTGTGACAAAGTTACCACAATTAGTTTATCATGAACTATTTATGTATACAAACAATCCTTGTCTTCACTTGAACATGCTAACTCAGGAGTAGAAAACGGCTGAAAATGCATTTTTTTAAATCATACATGTCCAGAAAAGGTGTAAGCATGACAGAAATGAGAAATCCACTGCAGATTTTCCAAACTACTTGCATTTATATAGTGTCCTTCACATAGGAGAGTGGAGCCTGTACAGTAGCGGGGGTTGGAAACCAAGTAAAACAAAGGGGGGGAAGATAAAAGGGGTAGTAGAGGTAGGTCTTCAGGTTGAATATGAAGACCGATAATGGGGAGCTGCAAGGACTGACAGGAAATTCCAGAGATTAGGAGCAAAGTGACTGCTATCAGCGTGGTCTGGCAACTCCAGACAGGCCTTTATTAACTGAGTGAAAGGGGTGGGCTGAGCAGTGGGGTACAAGCAGCACAATTCTACAATGACAATCGTGCAATGGAATCTTGTTTAAATAAATCAATATAAAGATCATAGCACCATTCAGCTCATTATGTCGGTGCTGGCTGCTTGATAATATCTGTTCAGTCCTCCTCTCTTGCCTTTGGCCCATACTTCCCATCGATTGTAGGTGTTTTTTCTTTTTTAAAAAAACGCATCCTACACTTTACTGATTATCCTGTGAAGTGCTTTGAGATATCCTTCTCACATGAAAGGCGTGCTATCAAATGCAAGGATTATATCCTTTTTATATTGTTCCTTTTTCTTTCCGAGCGGGGTGCTGAAATCTCGTGGATTTCACTCCTGGTTTATATCGTCATCTGAATCGGCAGATCATCAATATCAGATTTTTCCTCTGTATAACATGTTTCTGGAAATGCAATTCATGTTTATATTAAACATCAAAATGTTTTTCTGACCTGCTCTTTAGGCTGCGGTGCCACGGGGGGTTTTGCCAGTGGAAATGCTATACTGGGAGCCTGAGGGGTGAGAATCAGCTCCTCATCCTTGGCTGGAATCTCGCAGCTTCTCTTGGCTCGAGATGATGATGCTTCCGTTACATAAGTAAAGTCAAAATCGCAGGTCACTGTGATTGAACAGTAAACACAACCACTTACACACAGTCACTCTGCTCAGTGTTAGAATAACTTTCATACTAACATTCTTTGGTGTTATCAAAGGGAATTATCCTGCACTGGTAACTCTTCCTCCGAACAGTAAATTTCAAGGCACTGCGAGTGTGAAGGTTAATTGCCTCATGGAGCTAAACCTCATTGAGGTCAATCCCCTGGACAAATTACTTGAAAAATTTGAATCAGAACCATTTTCTATATTTCTGCTTTCTCAAGTGGTTAACTGGTTTCTGGTCTAGAAAAGGACACAATCCCTTTAACGTTTGGTGAATCACTGATTCTCCACCTCACTATACTGACCAAGTCTGGCAGACACAGTTGGCACACTTTTGCAGGACGTAAAAAGCACTACAGGAACTGGATTTTAAAATTAGGGCTAAATTTAAGAATTCTTTTACATTTTGTACTATCTTAAATTTTATGACATTAGTCTGAACACCATGGGAGTTTTCAGGCCTCAGATGCTAACAACAACAACAAGATTACATTTGTATAACGCCTTTCACATCGGGAGGACGTCCCAAGGTGCTGGATAGTGTACAGCATTTCAGTCCCGAGCTGGGGTCAGGGAGGGAGAAGGGAGGAGAGGGGAAGAGGGTTGGCCGATGGCATGGTCGAAGAGGAGGGTTTTGAGGCAGCACTCGAAGGAGGCTAAGGAGGGGGCGAGGCGGAGTGATTGGGGAATGGAATTCCAGAGGTTGGGAGCAGAGTGGCTGACAGGCTCTCCCGCCAATGGTGGGGCGCGTGGGTCGGAGGATGTGAAGCAGGCCGGAGCCGGCTGAGCAGAGAGAACGGACGGGTTGGTAGTGGCTTACGAGGTCGCATTTCTAACAAAATACAGTGTTTAAGAATCTGGTAAACATTGTATTTTGTTAGAAATGAAACTTTACACATTTTAATACAAAATCTATAATTACAAAAAAAAGGCAAAAAATATATATGTAAAACACAGAGATTTTAACTCACCTACTTTGGCCATTTCTGTGTCAGTTAGGGAATCCCTGTGTTTCACAAGTTCATCCTCTGCTTTCTCCAGGTTTCTTTGAAACTGCTCAGAGTACTGCGAGGGGCTGCCTGGCCACTGCATATTGTTAGCCAGCTTGGCCCTTTCTTCTCTGGCTGTTGGATCATCCCAAATAATCTGCTCATTCTGTGAGGGCTCCGTGTTGATATCCATGGCTGCTGGCCGTGATCGCCTGAACGCAAATTATCCTTTTAATACAACAGCAACTTGTATTTCTATATCGCCCTTCACGTGGGATGGCGTCTCTCTAACACTGAGGTTTGAACGACTAAATACGAAGTAATCCATTTCTGCCTTTATAGCTCTAAAATAACGACAAGGACTTTCCAGAAAGGTTGGTTCAATTGATAGCATTTGGTTCACAACATTGTGGTTCAAACCCTAAGTTGAGTCCTTGAGCTCTCATCCAGATGACAGCACCTCCAACAATGCCTCCCTCACTCCTCCTGCACTGCATTGGAGCATCAGCTCAGGTTGTGAACTCAAGTTCAGATGTGGGGTTTGAACTCACAAACTGATGAGCAGAGACAAGTGTTACCAAATCAGCCAGACTGACATCTAAGAGAGCAGTAATGAAAAGTAAATAGGCGCCGAGATCTATAGCAACATTTGCAGTCAGTACCTCACCTCAGAGATTCCAGTGCTCTGCTCCGCTCTAAACGAACAGCATTCTCAGCTAATGACGGAGAGTAATCCAAAGCTACCCTGGATAAGGAGCCATGGTGACCTGCTCCCTTCTCTACCTTCGTAGCAGACATGATCTCCTCTAACTGACGTTGAAAATTCTCCCTCATTTCTGAGGTTTCCGTCAAATCTGCAGCAGCATAAGGGCCAAATCAACAAAACTATTGAGGAATTACAAAGCTGATTTATCAAAATGACCTGAAGCTATTAGAATACAGGATAACACCTAAATTAAACAATTATGCGAAAACTTTTACTGTGATCATCCCATAACTCTCTCTCCATTTAATATATAATCACCTTATTTGATACAGCCCCTTATCATGTCATTGTAACATATCAAAGCATTTTACAGGATATACTGTAAAGTGGTGTGTATTTTGTGGACAAATGCAGCAGCACAAGGAGTTAATGACCAATTGTATCTGGAGAATTATTGGCCAGGACGCCAGGAGAAACTCCCTCCTCTTTTCAAATAGTACCACGGGATCTAAACATCCACCTCAACAAACGGGACCTGTTTAACATCTCATCTATGCCACCTGCTGTTTTTGCGTGTAATGGATGGAAATGGAATCCCATGTACTGATCAGAAACCCATTTCTTATGTAGAACAGAAATAATCTGTAATATGTAATCTGTTATTAGGTGCTTCAGCAGAGACCGCTGGAACAATCTGCTCATAATCTCCCGTAGGACCATAGTCAGCACTCTGTTATCAAGAATTACTTAATAATTACAACATTTATGGCATGTTGAAAACTTGTTCTGGTAAAGATATTGATGTTGATACCTCCACTTCCTTCATTTGGAACATTTCGCTCTTGATTAAGTGCAATTTCTTCATTTGAGTGTTCATCACTCTCAGTCCCCATTTCCTCATCCACAGTACAGCTCTGTAAAAAACATGGAGATCAATAATTCTTGACAACTGGAACTAAGACAAAGCGTCTATTTCTTTACTGCTCAAAAACTTTAGAGCATTTAATGTAAACTTTTAAACCTGTATTCAACATAGATTAAATGCTCCCTTCAACAGTATTGAGAATTAAAAACAAACAAACTTTGTGTTTGGGAAGCGCAGCTTGTTTTGAGATTAACCGACTCAATCAGTTACATGCTGCTACCATACCTGTTCAGTATCTTGTCTGACTTGTGAAGCGAACATGCGAGTGGAGACTCTGGCGTCTTGAACTGCACTGATGTCCAGACTCATCTTTGGGTTGTAGGTGTGAGGATAGAGCGACTCGGCCACTCGTTTCTGCTCATCAGCGCACTGCAGCAAAACACTCCCTGGATTCAGTGATCGACTAAACAATAGAAAGTTTACAGCACAGGAGGCCATTCAGCCTCTCATAGTGATGGTTCCCCTACTACAGCCATCGACTCAAATCCCATTCATCTGCACTTTCCTCAATTGTTCATCCAGTTTCTTTTTAGATACTGTTAAAGATGCTGCACAGAAGAGAACAAAACTGCAACTAAGACATCAAATTGGATCTAAGACATTATACTCCACAGGAGTTACACTTAAACTAAAGGAAACAGTTGTGCAGTGGAGCTGAATGCAGTCCCTCAGAAACTTGGTTTCTATAAACACACAATTCAGGGTGACTGGACTAAGCATGCGTACCCATCTTCCACCGAGTTCCCACACCACTCGCAGACGACTTGTATCTCTGGATCAGAAGGTTGTCAGGAATTTTGATAATGTAAGCTGACACTACAGGGCAGTGCTGGGAGAACGCTTCATTGTTGGGAGGTGTTGTCCTTCACAAACTTAAGTCTTGTTTGCCTGTTCAAGTGGGTGTGAAAGGTCCTACGACGCTGCTTAAGATAGAAGTGAGTTTCTCCCTGTGTCGTGGCAAACTATCCTCCAGATAAGTTGGTCTTTCACTTCGTAGATGTAGCACTTGCCAACAAAAACCTATCACTGCACATGAAAATTGTGATGTTTCTTAAAGATCTAATTGCCAACATTGTTTTGTTTATAAAGCTGTCATGATAGAGCATCTAGCTCCCCTCCTAAATGCAAGCCAGTTCCTGTGCTAAAGGAAAATTAGCTGACATTAGGGTCATCAGGTCACTGCCAATGTCATCATGTGTATGCTGGCTCTTTGAAGGATTCTTGAACTAAAATCCTGGGGCTGGACTAAATGGCACCCAATGTTGCAGCAATAGCCAGAGTATCAATGTCAAACAACAAGATTTCATTTATATAGCGCCTTTCACGTCGGGAGGATGTCCCAAGGCGCTGAACAGAGTACACCATTTCAGTCAACATTAACACAGATACCACAAACCACCAACAAATAATCAATAGTGAAGCACAGCAATACTTGGGAGGCCTTTCCTTAAAATTATCTTTTTTGCACCAAATAAGTTATGGTTTGCTTACCGCTAACAGCCAGTGTTCAGAGACAATGTATACACCTTTGTCTTTGACAGCCTTGTATTCTCGATGGTTGTCATTCTGCCGTCCCTGGTAGATGAAATGAGTTACTGTTTCATCATAACTCCACCTATAGACAAAGAGTAAAACAGGAATGAGAGGTTCAAGCTGCTAGAAGAAATAATAATTTGTATAATAATCCTTACATTTGACATAGTGCCTGCACAATCATGGGTTTGCACCTGAGGTGGGGTTTGGATTCGGGAGGGGTGGGAAGGAAAGAGAAGATGACTGAAGGCGCAGGCAAAAAGGAAGGTCTTGAAACGGGCCTTAAAGGAGGCGAAGGGCCTCCAGAGGGTGGTAGGAGAAAGGCTGAAGGCCCAATCATCGAAGGTAGAGGGGGGATGTGGAGCAGACCAGCGTTTGCCAAATGGAGGGAGCAGGCAAGTTGCTAGTTACAATCTTATAACAAAGCTTGACTATATACACACACACACAAACTGTAAACACAAAATACCTGTATTCTGCTCCAAGAGAGGCTGCAATGGCGTTCAGATTGCCCTGTTTTTTACCCAACTTCTTACTCACACAAATCACCACATTTACCAGCAATTTGTCTTCCTATCAAATTAAAAAGAAAAACTATCAAGTTCTCAACTTCCAGTATGTTGCACAAAAGAGGAACTTCAAATGCCAATAATATAATCTTAATACAATTCAAATTTCGCAAAGAAAAATATACAGAAATGTGACAGAGAGAACACAATTGTGTTCCTCCTTTTACCCAGGGACTTTCAGTGGCCTAGGTGTACAAACCCCTGACTATCCAGCCCTTGGAACATCCTCCCGACGTGAAAGGTGCTATACAAATGTAATTTGCTGTTGTTGTTCTCCCATTTAGATGATGACAATTTCTACTTTCATGTGGTGGCAGAACAAATCAGGTAAGAGTTTGGTTTGAAGCTGGATCCTATGTCAATGCCATTTTTCTCTCTATTATCTGTGCAGAGATGACCTCAGTACCTCAAGGTCAGGGAATGTGGATATCAATCAAATGAATAACAACAGCTTGGGTAAGGTACCAGGAGGTTGACTGATGGCCATAGAACCTCAAATAAAACAGTTTCAGCAGTGGGGTTGGGGGCACGGGAGGAGAACAAATTGACAAGAGAGAAATAAATACAAAATGCACCCACATTAATGGTTTTGCTTTACCATCTTTTAACCAGCTGGAATCAAAATGTCCACTTAGAAAACATTGCACTAGCTTCCTGGCAATGGGGAAACATACAGACCTGTTTTACCTTTACTGCATCAGAAACGTGAAGCCGTGGGCTGGCTGCGGAAGCTGCTGCCACGTTGCGAGTGCTGTTTGCCAGAGCCACCTTGAGGTTCCTGCCAATCAGCTCAGACAGTGGAGTGCTCATCTTCCTGCTCCGCTGGTGAGGACCACCCGGAGTTTCCAGAGCTGCCAAAGCATCCTGTGAGCAGGCAGCATCAGTGAGGTAAAAAGGCAAAGAAAAGCTGGTGTGTGTATGTGTAAGTGACTCCACAATGTACAGATTAACAGATACCCGACTGTAACTACACAACAAAGGGTCAAATAAATGTTACAGGGAATGCCCACATAACAATATACAGAATAACTGACACCTGGGAAGGACTACACAATCATATAGAATAACAGATATCTGGGAGTCACTACAAAACAGCTACTTCGCCACATAATTCAGGTGAGGCAATAATCTACACGGGTAGATGTAATGTAATCATCACCTGAACCCAGAGATGTAAATCATCCCGTTGTCACTTGCTTTATACCAGACATAGAAACACAGATGCACAGAAAGAGGCTACCACCCGGCCCATCTCATGGTTCCAAATTCCTGAGAATTTAGTTTCTGGCAGTGGCTGGTCCCTGCCGATGGACTTTATGTTTTGGGAACCAGTTACTGATCATCTATCCTCCTTGGGGTCGCTCAGTAGGGTCTCGTTGGAACTGAACGGGCCCTAAGCTGACATGCTTGGCAACAGAAGATTGGAGTCATCAACTCTCTGTGGCTATTCCAATTCCTAAGCCACGCGGGTCCACAATACCCCAGGGCAATGCTGACAACACACCAACCCACCTGGCTCACCGGTGGGTCTTGCGAGAAGCAGACCGGTCCCTGGGGCAGTGATTCTTTCCACTAAACTCCTAGTGACCCTGCATGCCACCATAATGGGTAGAGTAGTCCCAAATGAACAAGCAGCAGGAAGCTTTCCAAACATTGGCAAGCTATGTGGTTTATATTAGATAAAACTCCAGCAGTTCCCCATGCATACTCCAAGTTCCCAAGCCTAATTTTTGCTAACCTGAACCTAATACTTTCCGGAAGGTAAGCAGGATAAGTCTCTTCAGGGAGAGGATGCACATTCCATTATACAGGAATTTCCATATGTAAGTGAGATGCATGGAACCTGTCAGTTTGGTTACTCTAAAGCACGGGGATGTGTTTCCACATGTATCAGACATCCGGCTGATCAAAAAAAAGGTTTGATGCACAGCAACGTTATATCACCTAAGTTTAAGGATTTGTTAGAATTAATTTTATTATTGAAGTATAACACATTCACTGCTGCTTGAAAAAAAATCTGTATCAGAAAAATGGTCATTGATTTTTACTTGGTTATATTTGCAACAAAGTGAGTGGAGATATTCTCTCTGATGGGATGATTTTGGTTATTTCTGATGTCAAAATTACATCAGATAGTCAATGTACATCATTATTTTGTAGAAGCCTTTTTATGCCACTTATAATTTTGTAGAAATGTGCCAGTTATTGCGGAGTCCTGTAGCTCAGTGGTTGGAGCACTCGCCTTGCAAGCGAGAGACCTGGGTTCGATTCAATTCCCGGCAAGAAAAAAATAAAATAATAATTTGGTCACTCAATCCAAGACTGTTTGTGGGACACTATTGTGTGCAATTGGCTGCCGTGTTTCGCCCACAAATATACAGCCAATTCACTTTACAGTATATTCCGTGAAGCGCTTTGAGACATCTAGAAGATGTGAAAAGCGCTATATCAAATTCAAGGATTATTATTATTAAATTTTTAATTTTTTTTAGCAAATTAGAACTTCTCTGATTGACCAAAAATTATTTAAATCACCATATTCAAACATTTGACTGTAATCAAAGCACAAAAGTAAATCATTTTCTCCATTAGAAAGTTAGTATATGGATAGCCAAGTTAGTTAGGTTCATAAAATACTGTACTTACATTTAATAATACTGTACTTACATCAGGAGGACATCTCAAAGAGTTACACAGGATGTACTGTAAAGCGGAGTGACTATATTTGTAGGCAATGCCAGTTTACATTCAATTTAATTTTGCTTCAGCTGAGTTAGAGAAAGAGTGAGATTCCAACAGTACCTGAACGTCAAACGATGGCTTGAACAGCTTATCCTTGCTCAAGAATTTTGAAGGAGTATCGAGCTGCAGGGGGCTTTCTCTCTGGGGAGCGGCCTCAGTTCCTGTACTCTTTGTGTCATTGTGCCGAGCTAGAACTGACTGGAAGGCCTTACTCTGGAATTTGTTGAAGTCCAGTGGGGTGACAGCAGGGTTGAGCCGAGTCTCTAGCCTGGACGAGGGAGTGTCAGGTCTGTGTTCTTGCACTCTGTTCATATCAGCGGATTTGGAGGCCTGAGCAGCGTTACCTACTTCATTTATAAAAGAAGTCGGAAGATGTGAGAGAATTTAACCTAGTGTGTGCTCAATTTTGATCCTTCTGATCACTGTTACCAATTCCAACTCAGTATTTCATGGAAACAGTAGAGTGGTGGTTGGCCAACAAAATACATTGTCTGATTGAATATTTCTTGATTCATGCCATAAATCATATGTCCAGTCAAGAAAAAACTGGAAACAAACTATGGATTTAACACGGACTTACCTAAACTAGTGTGAATGTTCGGCAGGCCATTTTTTGATGGCCGACGGTGGCCGGCAGGCCATGAGATGGGCACCATTGCAATACGGTAACAAAGAATATCCCCTATTGCCCATAACCTGGAAGTTTCATCATTTAAGGTCCATAAGCCTTTACACCCCAAGATGCTTTTCCCAGGGTTCACAGTACTTATGATGCCTTCTTTCCAACCCACCATTTTTCCAACCCCAGTGATGTTTGAACCCTAACATTTACCATCAGTAGCATTTTCCACCAGGAAATCATTTTCCTGAGCTTTCTTCCCTGTGTGAGCCGTCTCGAACAGCCAGGCTACTGTCACAGCTGGTAAGTTCCACTTTTTAGCAGCTTCATATTTGGAGCCTTCAGGTTCTCGCAGTACAAGGTGAGAGCTGGCAAGCATGCCCTTCCTTAAGTTTGCTTTTCGAACAAAATACTCCTGCACTCTTGAAAGATAGAACAAACGGTGTCAACAGGCCAATAGTGGGATACAATATTGTAAGTGCTAAGTCCCATGGTATTAAAGGGAATGTGAGAGCATGGGTAGAAAACAAAGAAGTGGTTAAAGGTATATTTTTCTGACTGGATATAATTAGTGATACTCCCCATTTTTTTCAAAAAGTAATTTTAAGTATCTTGTTGATTTTACTGCAGTGTAACTTGGATATTGTACCTTGAATCTCGCATAACATAACCTTTTAAATCTATGCTGTTCAGATAACATAAAGATCGGGACTTGGGGATAAGGAATATTAAACAAATACTCTTGAATAGGATCCACAGGATTTTTCCCAGTTACACAGAAAGCCTATTCCAAAGTATAGGATAATCTACAAAAAGTTCCAAATAGATTTATAAGGTTATGTTATGCGAGATTCAAGGTACAATATCCAAGTTACACTGCAGTAAAATCAACAAGATACTTAAAATTACTTTTTGAAAAAAATGTCTATTAATACTAATACAGTCACTTCACAGTAAATCCCATGAAGCACTTTGAGATGGCCCCACGGCGCTATACCAAATACAAGGATTATTAAGCATGCGGGTCTACTGGCATTTACCTTGCTCCAAGATGTTGTGCTATGTTAATTAGTGCATCTCTCTCTGCCCCAGTAAATTGGCTAACAGAAAGTACGCAGTCGTTCAAGGGAGTGCTTCCATCCATAACGGACATAGGAGTAAAGAGGGCATTGGACCGTAAGGCCAATATACACTGCTGATCAATGCACATCATCTGCAAATAAATCAATAGGAGAAACATCATCAAGCTGAATATTTCATCCACCAAAAGAAACAATCCATGACAAAATCACAGCAGTCACAACAGAAAAGGCTTATTGAAAGAAATTTCAAACTCAATGGCTCTTTCACAAATGAGGGAAACTAAATATTGAATAATCCTCTAAGTGCCTCTGCCACAGAGGTCTTGTGCTATTCTGCTCTGTCGCTAGTTATTGTGGTAACCATGGAAAATGCAAAGTGACATGGCACCAATATTGTAATTATCAATTCATTACAGAGGATTGGCACGGTGTGACTCTCCTTGCATCAGAATTCAGCACTGTGTTGGGCCTGAAAGCAGTTCCAACAGTGTCTGCGTCTTAATAATTCTCAGGTAGAAATTTAAGGTCACGAGAGTTCAGAGGCTCAAATAGTAGAGATTCTTCATTCTGGCCATCTTAGTGTCTGAAAGCGCAGTATGCAGGAAGTGACGTCAGCAGCAACCAGATGACCCAGAAACTGGTCATTTTGGCTTCCTGGACCGGCCAACATTTTGAAGCACCAATTTTGGGAGTATGTAAATGTCAGGGTTCACACCCATCACCAAATATCTACGCATCAGGTACGGAAGTACGGACGTCAGCCACCAGAAAGTCAGTCCAACACATTTCCAAAGCAACAGAGGGAAGAGAGAGGTGAGAGGGGGAAAACATCTGAAAATACTCCAAATCAATATCCAACAGGGATCTCACATCAAACATCCACTTTTCCTGAGCTCCTTGGGTATTTAGCAGTATTTAGCCTGTAGTATTTAGTTTATGTCATTACTGTATTCACATATAATTTATACAAGTCAAACAAACACTGTAAACATCCAGCTGCTCACCAGCCATGTGTTTGTAACCACTTCTGCTACAGTCGCATCCACTTTAGTTCCCAGCAAAGGAACAACAGCGTAGTCCGCAACCACGCGGCTGTGGGGTGGTAACACTCTGCCACCGCTGTCCCGGATTAATTCACCCAGATAAACAGCATCTTCATTACTGAAGCCAAATACCAGAAACCTCTTCTTGTTGAACAGACTCTCCTCAGCTGCAGGCTCAGTCCAGAATGTGGAATCGTTCGCAGGCCTGTTCTGTTCCTGAACATTAACCCTGGTTGTGTCTTGGAAGTTACTCTCTGATTGTTCATGATTTACAAGTCCAACTATATTTTTAAAAGATAAGAAAAATTCAATAAGGAAAATACTACAATTTTAAAATTTAAATTAAAAAAATCTTCAAAATAAAAGAAAAACCCAGCTGTCCCGACTACTGAATGGCTTATCCAGCCACAGATTGGAAAGGTTGTTTCATTCCTAGTCTGGTTGAGTATCACCTTAAGGAAGTTACATTAATTGGCATATTGGTTACGGAACTCGCCTCACAAGCGAGAGGACCTGGGTTTGAAGCCCGGCAGGGGCGAAACCTTAGGCAAGTTTTCTTACTCCACACGCCTCTGTTTGCCTGCAGTAAGTAGGAACCCAGGTGTTAATCGATTGGCGGGTTCACTTTCAGGGGCAGGAACATAAGAACAGGAATAAGCCATTCAGCCCGTCATTTAATTAGATCATGGCTGATCTATATCTTTACTAGAATTTCAAATCCAATTTCCCGCTTTCTCCCCGTATCCCTTAATACCCTGACCTACCAAAAATCTGTCAATCACTTTCTTGAAGGTGTGGATGGATCCAGCATCCATGACCTTTTGGGGGAGAGAGTTCCAGATTTCTACCACCCTTTGAGTGAAAAAATGCTTCCTGATTTCACTCTTAAATGATCTAGTTCTAATTTTAAGACTATGCCCCCTTGTTTTGCATTCCCCCAACATAGGAAATGGCTTTTCTGCATCTACCCTATCAAATCCCTTTATTATCCTAAATACCTCTCAAATCACCCCTCAATCTTCTAAACTCGAGGGAATACAATCCAAGTATACGCAGCCTATCCTCGTAACTTAACCCTTTTTGGCCTGGTAGCATCCTGGTGAGCCTGCGCTGCACCCCCTCCAAGGCCAATATATCTTTTATAGGTAATAAATCCTTTTTTAAAAAAATAACAAATTTGGTCACTCAATCCATAACTGTTTGTGGGACAATGCTGTGTGCAATTGGCTGCCGTATTTCGCCCACAAAATATCCTGTGAAGCGTTTTGTGACGTCTCAACGATGCTCCAGATTGTTATCCAAGAGTTCTCCTGGAGTGTGAGTGTCCAGGAACGTGTGTGTACCTGCATATGCATGGGACGTGCGAGCACAGGTGCAAACCTGGACTTGTGAGCTCAATATCCTGATATGGATCTGAACCTACACCCTTTTGACCCAGAGGCATGAGTAGTACAACCTGAGCGAATTAATAATTAGCAAAAACAACAACAAAATTACATTTATAGAGCGCCTTTCCTGTCGGGAGGACTTGCCAAAGCTCTGAACAGTCAGGTGTCGGGACCCGAGCATGGAAATGGGTGGGGGAAGGCAGAGAGGTGGGAGGGAGACCAAAGGCACGATCGAAGAGAAGGGTCTTGAGACTGGCCTTGAAGGTGGCAAGGGAGGAAGCGAGGCGAAGGGATTGTGGGATGGAGTTCCAGAGTGTGGGGGCAGAGAGGCTGAAAGCCCGGCCACTGATGGTAGGGCGGGTCGGACAGGAGACATGGAGCAAACCGGAGCACGATAAACGGAGGAAGAGGGCAGTTGGTAGGGAGTCAGCAGGTCAGAGAGGTAGGAAGGGGCAAGGCCATGGATGGCCTTAGAAGTGAAGAGTTATTATAAGAGATTAATACACAATTAATAATTACTAGAAAGAGTTTGTCGTCGTTTAAGAGTTATAAAAGCAGAGTTAAATTAATTTGTATTGTGAACCTAAGAACATGTGTGCTCATCCAAATCTCAGTATTAAAAAAAATATTGAGATCAGGACTGTGAGTTCATGTCCCCACAACACATCAATTGAATGCCAAGAGAGCTACTGGCTGAGTAAAGATAACACACACAAATTCCACTGGAAATCTTAACTAAAAAGATAAAATTCTAGCCTATGGTTGTGTCGTTGTCCATGTACTGGGAAAGCAGATCCTCATCCGCCTTCTGTTGTCTGCCTGGACTGGTCGTCACTGCTTTATTACTATTTACAGTCAAACGAGCTTGCTTGGTGCTTGGCTTCTCTGTGATCAGAACGTCAGCAGGCTGATAGGTTGGATGGAAATACCGCTCCTCAGGAAGAAGACAGCTCTTGGAAAAGCATTCCACCAACCACCTTGCTGTAACCACATGTGGCCTAATATAGAGGTTAATTCATTAGAAAATTTGCAGTAAATGCCCATCAGAAATTCATACAGCAAAGATAAACATTCATAAACACTTTAAAAAAATTCTTCTTGCAACACTTTTATATGTTTGATTTACCGAAGCTCTATGATGGTCCATAGTAGAATCAAGCGTAGCCCGTTCTTTAACTGGGAAGTGTACGGTTTGTTTCTGATCAACAGGCCAGTCTTTAGTAGTTTTCTATAGTCTCTCAGCTCCACAAGTTCTGGGAAATAGGTTTTACCTTTCGGTCTATCCTAAATTTGCCCTTCACAACCCTGAACACAAGATCACTATTTTTTCCCCCCATTTTCACTTCAATTTCTTTAATTTGCAAATAACTTCACTATTTTTTCCCCTCTCACTTTCATGTTACAGTAAATTCTGCAAATCACTTTGAGACATTTCAACGTTGTAATAAAGCAATATATCAAACACAAGGATAATGAAGATTATCGTATGAAGCATTAACCTATTTTGTCTGAATTAGTGAAGTGTGTGTTTTAGTGAATTACTGAAAAGGTCCACACAGGGAGATATGTAAACAGAAAAATGTATTTTACCATGAAAAATCTACACTTACATCACCTTTTGTTTAACATGTTTTCAGTTTGAAAGAAACACTTGTTGAAGTTTTGTTAAACATGTTTTTAGTATGAAAGGTGCCCTCACTGTACCCATGTGACATTTTGTTTAAACATGTTTTGAGTTTGAAAGAAGCACTTGTTGTACTTGTTGAGGTTTTGTTAAACATGTTTTTAGTATGAAAGGTGCTCTCACTGTACCTGTGTGACATTTTGTTTAAACACACTTTCAGTTCCTTCTCCTCTTCTCCTACAATCACATGAGTAACATCTTCACTGAACTGATTGAACCGCACTCCGCCACCAAAATTAATCATTCGACGCAATTTATCCAACTTCTTACCACTGAATCCAGATAAATAAATCTGTAAAAGAGACACATACAGGAGTTACATCTCATCATAATAGGAATTCATAACCAGTTTCTTTACCTTTAAAAATAAAAATCAACAAAATAACTCAAGGAAACACCTATTTTTAGTGGGTCTAAGCAGGTAATGTTCTGAAGTTGGTGGTTCAAGCTGCACGGTCAGGAGTTTAACCTCACAGTCCTCCAATGCAGTGCTGGGGGTGTGCTGCATTGCGAGAGGTGCCCTCCTTCCAGTGAGGCATTAAGCAGAGATCCTGTTTGCCTGTTCAGGTGGACATTAAAGTTCCTATAGTGCTATTCAAAAAGAGAAGGGATTTTCTTACAGTGTCCTTGCCAACAATCCCCCAAATAAAATTAGTTATTTACTTCATGGCTGTTTGTGGGGCATTGCTATATGGAAATTAGGTGCCATATTTAGCTGCAAATACAGTCACTGCACTTCAAAGAAAAATTAAGAAACGCTAAGACATTTCAACATGAGAAGGCGCCATATCAGATGCAAGTATTAGGACGCACACAGCACATCCTGCATGTCAAATCAGTATCATGCTTTATAGCTATCACAAGCTAGACAATACTCTGCTAAAAGAACTCAAAAGAAACATTGGCTTACTTTACATCCATCTAACAAGTCTTCAGAAATTTCAAAACCGCTGATATCCAGAGCTTCAAGAGGATCAGAAGGCATTTCCAGCTTAGTGGACATGGCAGAAAAGGCAGATTCATTGACACTGCTCATGCTAATGTTGGAAATGTGACTGAGGTCTGGCAGTGGTTGAGCTAAGGGAGTGTGGGGGTAAAAGAGAGAGAAATAGATTATGCCTCCTGGTATTGGTGCTAGTATTGCTATTGGGAGTCTAACACTTCTGGGAAATGTAATTCCTAAAATCCCTCACCACCATCAGTCCCATAAATATTTTTTGTCGACCATTTCTTCAAAGGAGAAATACATTTCCCAGAATTGTCTCATAGGAATGTAAAGAACCAGAGAAGACCATTGAAGTCCATCTGGCTGGACACAACATTTAACAAAATCCTATGCTAACTCAATACATATTTACAAATACATTACATAAATCAGAGCTCAGTTTATCAATATCCTTTAGGACATTGAATACTTAAGATTCCCCAGTCCCCTCTTCTACAGGGTAAATATTTCCAGCTTTTGAATTGACCTCTACTTGAGCCTAATTCAAGCTACTGATCTGTGCTCAACCTAGGCATCAGGTTTAATCCCCAATTCATTCAAAATTCCACTACCTGTATCCTCAACAGCACAAAACTCCTACCTCGACTATCTCGCCAAGATTCTTTGGTTCCCGATTGCAGAACGGATCGATTTCAAGATCCTCATACTCATGTACAAATCACTTCATGCCCTGGCGTCTCCCTACCTCCCGGACTTGCTTAAACCCTACTCTACTACCCATTGCTTTCGTTCAGTCTTCACTCAGCCGGCTCTGGCCTCCTGAACATCCCTCATCCCAGCACTACGCAATCAGCGGCCGTGCTTTCAACCACAACATCTCAAAACTATGGAACTCTCTGCCTCAATCCCTATACCCCTTCCTTGCCCGTCTATGCAGATTACAATTGAAGAGCTTCTCTTCGACCGTGCCTATGGTCACCTCCCTCCTCCACCATTAAGCGCTCCAAGAATGCCTTTCAATTGAATTAGTGATACGGTTGAGTAATATTCTACGTACAATTCAGTGGGTTTCCATTGTTGGTTGGAGTTGAGCTACTTGGAGCACTGTCCCCAGATTCTGGATGGCGTTCAACTTTATAGATGGATTCATCCTGACATGTACCATTTTCAATGGAGTCAAAGAACCACTGGATGGATACACAGTACACATTCCACTTTTGTGCACATTCAAACTTCTGGCCTTGGCATGTAAAAATAAAAATAGTAGAAATGTAACTTTTTACGGTACAACAGTCATTTCAATGTTTGCTGAACTCAACATTTTACACAACTAAAGTCATTCACATTTGATCAACTGAGACTGGATGAAAGAACTCATTTGGCCATTTAAGTATTCAAGATCCTAAAGTGCATGGGTAAGGTAAGGTATTGCATATTCTCTTCAGTAGGAATTTCAGGATTTTCACTTGTTGACAAACAGTTAAGCAGCTACTTGGGTAGAGGTTATTGGAGCCCTCTAGCTCAGTGGTTAAAGCACTCGCCTCGCAAGCGAGAGATCCTGGGTTTGATTTCTAGCAGGGCTAAATGTTGGGCAAGTTTCCTTACTCCACACACCTCTGTTTGCCTAGCAATAAGTAGGAACCCAGGTGATAGTTGATTAGCGGATCGCTTTTCCGGGAGTAATAATTCTTTCAAAATAAATAAAAATAATTTGGTCACTCAATCCACGACTGCTTGTGGGACTGCTGTGCGTGATTGGCTGCCGCATTTCGCCCACAAAATATACAGTCAATTCACTTTACAGTATATTCTGTGAAGCACTTTGAGACGTCTAGAAGAACTGATAAGGCGCTATATCAAATGCAAGGATTATTATTATTATTGTTCAAATGGATCACATATTGCAGAACAAAAGCACTCAATCCATCTAAAATCTTTTCCGTTTGTTTATTGAAAGGGTAAAAAGTAAGTTCTGTTTGACTTTAAAAAGTCAGTTTGTCTAATTTCTTCTCATAAGTAAAACAACTCATACCTTAACTTACCCATATACTTCTGGATCTTGAATAGTCAATATTAATTAATATTGGTTTGCATAACACTGTACAGGACATCAAAGATCTAAGAACTCAACTATTGCATATCTTGCATTTACCTTTAGCTTCTTGCACTATAAGATGCGTACAGTCATTCATCTTCAGCTGCCCTGTGTACTGCCCACCGTGCTCCAGTGTAAGACGTTTCACCTCCTGCCTATCGAGACTACTCAGCCCAGTCACACAGATGGTACATCCAAGGAATGGAGGACAGAGATGTTCTTCCAGGTTCATATCTGTGTAGCTAATCATGCTGTTCAAAATAAAGTGGCGGATTCTATTAGCTACAACTAAATGAACAGCGCTGGTTTGCTGTTGCACACGGCGTTAAAACCCTACGACCTTCAGCCAACAGATGGTAATACAAATCAACCAGTTTAACTCTCTCCCCAGAGTTCACTTACACACTTCATCTAAAATTAACCAACTGTTCCAGTGGATTTACCAAGAGGAGCTTTGGTTATCTGAGGGCATTCAACAGAAAGCAACTTATTATTCAGTAATGGAGGATAATGAATACGTTAGAATAACTTAATAATAATCCTTGCATTTGATGTAGCGATTTCCACGTCTTCTAGACGTTTCAAAGCGCTTCACAGAATATACTGTAAAGTGAATTGACTGTATATTTGTGGGCAAAACGTGACAGCCAATTGCGCACAGCAATCGTGGATTGAAGTGACCAATTTATCATTGGGTTTTTTTCTTGAGGGATTATTATCAGGTGTGTGGAGAAAGGAATCTTGCCCAACACTTTTACCCTGCAAGGAATCGAACCCCAGGTTTCTCGCTTGCGAGGCGAGTGCTCTAACCACTTAGCTACAGGACTCCACTTGCATTTATGTAGCTCCTGGCACATAAAATAAATGTCTCACAGCACTTTACAAAAATAATTGATTTGCAAAATTGACTGACAGCCAATCTCGGCATGTGAGATCCTATCACTAACAATGAGATGAGTTGCCAGTTAAATTGAAAATGTGAATAAATTCGGAAAAGGAATGAATATGGAGCCAGGAAAAAAAAACATGTTTCTTTGAAATTGTGAGAAGCCTGTCTTTTTATGTTCATCTGAATCATAAGAGCAGATGGAACCTAAATGAATAAAACAATTAAATAGAGGGATCATGGAAATAAATAATTAGTTATTCATTATTCTACAAAAGGTAAAATACTTCAAGTAGGTCCTCTGATAGCTCAGTTGGAAAAGCCACGATACTGTACAAACCAAAAGCAGATACCCAGTCTGCCTTATGTGTTTTTTGGCCAGGGAATTTGGGGGAAAAAAAGGACGAGATTTCTGCTCTTCACCTGCAAATTCCCTTCCTCCCAGCTGATAATATCTTGTATGTGAGCACCAGGTGAGGAAATGATTGGGTTTGGCTGAGAGAAACAGTGTCCCTGACAGCCTGACACTAACTGCCTGAGCTTGCACAACAATGAGCACGTTGTTAACATTTTGAAGAGTGGCCAATAACTGTATGAACTTTACCCGAGTAAAACAAGGCAACAAAACACAAGTAATATTCCAAATGATACGTTTGTTTTTATCTTTTAAAGGGATCATCATAGACATAATTAACATAACTAAATAAGTGTATCCAAAAGTTATAGCAGAAGATTTAAGTGTAGACAAATGATTGCTCTATGTTTCATAATTACCCAGCTGGCAAGTATTTCACTCTGAAGGGCTGCCTTGCCAGAATAACACGATCAAACAAGTAACCAGATACTCAGACTCTGTTGTGAGTACTGGGTCAGAAAATGGAGTTCAAACTCCATGTTGAAATTTAGGTCACAATTCAGATGACACCCCAGTATAATGCTGGGAGATCGCTTCTTTGTCAAAGGTCTTATCTTTCAGATGGGACATTAAACTAAGATCTCAATTGTCTATTCTAACTACTGAACTACAGGAGTCCTGTAGCTCAGTCCAGAGCACTCGCCTCGCAAGCGAGAGACCTGGGTTTGATTCCTGGCAAGGCAAAACCTTGGGCAAGTTTCCTTACTCCACACACCTGATAATAATCCCTCAAGAAAAAAAATAATAAAATTGGTCACTTCAATCCACAACTGTTTGTGGGACACTGCTGTACGTAATTCACTGCCGCGTTTCGTCCACAAATACAGTCAATTCACTTTGCAGTATATTCATTGAAGCGCTTTGAGACGTCCAGAAGACGTGAAAAGCACTATATCGCATGCAAGGATTATTATTTTTTTTTATTACTCAGATCTGTAATATGTGGCTGTAAATCACACTATTTAAAAAGAGAAGTTTCACACAATGTCCTAGTCAAGAATTCCCCAGATTAATTGGTCATTTGCCTCTTGGCTGTTTGTGGGACTTGCTCGGTATAATGGCATTTCCACTTGATGAGAAGCTAAACGAATGCAAGTTCCTTTCCTAACTCACTGGAGCCACAGACAAGTATTATCAAATGCAAATAATCATAGAAGTTACATCAGTTTAGATAGTAAAAAGACTAAACTAGCTGTCAGCCCAATACTTAAAAGAAACTTGCTTGCTCCGCAAGAAAAATCTAGAGATGAAAAGATGCTTCCCAAACATTGGAAGGAGTTAGAAGAGCAGAACAACATCACTCAAAAGGACAATATTCAAGAAGGGATTGAGCTGTGACAAAATGGGAGGGATGATATCCAGCAGGGTCCTTGTCCCAATCCTGACTAGACTGCTCCAACCTTCACGAGACTTTTCCTGGTAGACACAGCAATGAAGATGATTTGCAGCATTTAATTCATTTCAATAACCTGATTAATTTACCTGAAGTTTCTCCAAGGCAGAGTACAAGAATTCTCCACCTTTTGGGGAAAGTAATAGCTATATAGAAGGCGAGTGCCATCAATAGACATTGGTAAACATATACCTCACACTGTAATAAATGTAACACAAAACATAATTCAGATGTCAGGGTTTTCAAACTACAGTTGCCCCTTACCCATGGTGAGACTGTTCCCAGCATGTTTTCACCCAGGATGGAAGTAAAATAGGTTTCTTCAGACTAGCAGCCACTAAATACTTCTTACTTCCAACCTCTCCAGCTATGAGATGAGTCACTGAGATATTGAAATCCCGTGAAATCCTCCCACCCATCAGCTGTACACATTTATGTACTTCATCCTGTAGGAAGGAAACAAGATGTACAACACATTAATTTAATTTGGACCTTTTATACATTTGTAACTTTGATGCCCAACTTCAAGCATAGAATCATAGAACATTTACATCTTAGACTGAAGCCATTAGGCCACCATGTTTATACTTGTGCTGGCTCTCCCACTGGAGCTATCTACTCTAACCCCATTCCCCTGCTCTTTATCAATGCTACTACTTACTGCACGTGACCAGGATTCTGTTGTTACCACCTTTACAACAACCAATCACATGTAGTGTCTCAGGTGTCCTGAGGCTGAAAGCCCGAATCAGCCATGAACAGTATGTCTCAGACACCCTCAAGGCAGACTTCAGGTGTGTCCAGTCCCGAGCCGTGGTATATCTAAACCGAGAGCCCAATGCACAGGTGACTGTTCATCCAAGCGGAGGACGTGTCTAAAGACTAAAAGGCTGAAAGCTTGCCTACTGATAGTGGGGCGGAGGATGTGAAGCAGGCCTGAGTCGGACTGGCATTTTATAACTTGACAATGTTTTTTTTCAATATTGTTAACTTAACTGACCCGTGGTCACTCTGCACTAAGTCACTTACCCTGATCTCCTTGTTCAGGCTTGTGCATGAAATCACCACGCCAGACATGGCCATGTTGTAAACAGGATGTACAGCTTTGGGCACACACTGCTGTTGCTGAACGCAGAATAGCACAACTTGTGGGCCAACAATCCTACAGCCAAGCTGGATGGGGAGAGTAAATTGATTACTAAAATATCAAATTATAGCCCTAGATAAAAGCTTAAGGCTTTACTGTATTGGAAACGACTATCCACAGTATGTATACAATAGCAGATCAAACAATCTCACAACAAAACCTGCACATCCTGTGTGCCAAATTAATGTTCAATATTAAGATTCCAACCTGACTGCCCCCAAGTCCAGCACCTAAAATGCCTGGCCCCTTATAAGATGAAAAACTGCCCCACGAGCATCTCTGCCAATACAACAACTTGCACTTATATAGCGCCCTCCACACAGAGCCTGACTCCGAGCCAGGGGGAGTGGGGAGATGTAAGCATGGTCGAAAAAGAAGGTTTTCAGGTGGGACTTGAAAAAGAGGAGAGGGGGCAATGCGGAAGGATTGAAGGAGTGTTCCAGAGCATTGTGGCTGAATGCAAACCTCCAATGTATCCAATACACCAGTGCAATAGTACCAGCACTACACTAGTGTATGAGGAACTACACAGACAATGCAAAATGACTAACAGATTTATCACTGTGTTTTGGTCAGTTTTTATTTTTCAAATTAACCTAATACCTAATGTCTGTGCAGCAAGGAATGGTACGAATATTAATAAAATTAAGAAAGCATATGCGAACAGTCCTTTTGGTCCATAAAAGCCCTCCTTCTATAGCTTTCTAACACCTAAATAATAGGCACACTGTTAATGGACTTCAAAAATAATCAGAATGTGTATCTTCTTGAGAACAATATTGGAGGATGCAAGAGTATGTGCATTCTGAGCTGACAGTTTTGTAATAATAATCCTTGCATTAGATATAGTGCCTCATCATGACGATGAGATGTCTTAAAACACTTTACAAGATTTACTGTAAAGTGTAGTGACGGTGTATTTGCAGGTGAACGTGGCAGGCAATTTGTACACAGCAATTTTCTACCATCAGCCATGAAGTGAATAACCAATTCATTTTATCTGGAAGATTGTTGTTCAGGACAATGGGAGGAATTCCCTTTTCTTTTTGAATCGTGCCATGGGAACTTTACCAGGTGGGCTGTGGGCGATGTCCAGCCTTTGACTGGTAGTCGGTTGTCAGTCAGGGGCAGGATGAGGGGCTGTGATTGGCAGACTGAGCTGCCAGTCAGTCAGTGGGCAGTTGAAAACAGCAACGCGATCACAAAAAAGTACAGATAAGTGAGTCAGTTTGGGCCGAATTTTGCTGAACTCAAGTGATTGGGAGGGAGGGGGTTTCATGAGACCCCCAACTCCATCACTGGCTCCACCACTGGACTGTTCCACAAGTGTAAAGCACCAAATTAAATACCTTTTTGAGATGATTAAAAGCTTCTCCTTCAAAGGAGTCACATATATAAAGTGAGCTGTCTTTTTCTTTCAGACAAACTGCTTCATTTTCCTGTACACTCTGCAAAAGGTCCTCTGGCTGAAATTCTTCCACAGCCTGTAGGCGAGGGGAGAACAGGTTTCAAATTGGTTTGTAAATAACATAAACACAACATACACTTACTCCAATTTTTATTTACTTACCTCATAAGCTTTGGTAAAATATTCAGAATTTATTTTTTCCGTTGTTACAAATTTTACAAAAGGCAAGTTGTCAGGTTTTGACATTTTCTGTCTAAATTGAGACAAAAACAGTACAAATCATTATTGAAACATGAAACATTTGGAGTAGTTAATACTGGTGGCATACCACTGAATACGAGCTCAGTTGGTAGTAGCACTCTTGAGTCAAGAGAGTTTGACCTCAGAGTCCAAGCTGATACTCCAATACAGTGCCAAGATTTTCCCAGTGTCCTGGTCACTAATCCCCCAAACAAAATTGTGTTTGTGAGTCAAAAAGAAACAAGAAATGGCATTGCTGTGCACAAATTGTCTGCCCTGCCGGCCTAAAAAATAGAGAGTACACTTCACAGTAAACCCTGTGAAATTCTTTGAGATGTGCTGTCAATGTGAACGCGCTGTGCACATCAGGACGACGTCCCAAGGCACTGGACAGTCAGGGATTTGGACCCGAGCTGGGAGTCGGGATCGGGGAGGGTGCTGAAGGCTCGATCAAAAAGAAGGGTTTTGAGACTGCCTTGAGGGCAAGGGAGGGAGCAAGGGGAAGGGAATGTGGGATGGAGTTCCATTGGGTGGGGGCAGAAATGCTGAAGGCCCAACCGCTGATGGTGGAGCAGCCTGGAGCCTGGTGATCGGAGGGTGCGGACAGATTCATATGGGGTCAGCGATTGCAGAGGTAGGGAGGGCAAGGCCTCGGAGAGGCTTGAAGGATTTTGAACTCTATCCTCTGAGGGATGGGGAGCCGATGGAGCCGGGCGAGGGCGATGGGTTCACGAAGCCTGGTACGGGAGAGGACACAACCTGCAGAGTGCTGGATGATCTGCAGCTTATGGATTAGAAGAGTTGGGAAGGCCGACAAACAGGGAGTTGTCATAGAGCCGAGATGTGATGAATGCGCGGATGAGGGTTTTGGCAGCGATATCAAATTCAAGGATTATTATTAATAAAAGAAGATGTGTGTGTGTGTATCTCACCAACTCTCAGTGTGTGTGTGTGTATCTCATCAACTCTCAGTGTGTGTGTGTATTTCACCAACACTCAGTGTGTGTGTACGTATATATCACCAACTCTCAATGTGTGTGTACGTATATATCACCAACTCTCAGTGTGTGTGTACGTATATATCACCAACTCTCAATGTGTGTGTACGTATATATCACCAACTCTCAGTGTGTGTGTACGTATATATCACCAACTCTCAGTGTGTGTGTACGTATATATCACCAACTCTCAGTGTGTGTGTACGTATATATCACCAACTCTGTGTGTGTGTGTATCTCACCAACTCTGTGTGTGTGTGTATCTCACCAACTCTGTGTGTGTGTGTATCTCACCAACTCTCAGTGTGTGTGTGTATCTCACCAACTCTCAGTGTGTGTGTGTATCTCACCAACTCTCAGTGTGTGTGTACGTATATCACCAACTCTCAATGTGTGTGTACGTATATATCACCAACTCTCAGTGTGTGTGTACGTATATATCACCAACTCTCAGTGTGTGTGTACGTATATATCACCAACTCTCAGTGTGTGTGTACGTATATATCACCAACTCTGTGTGTGTGTGTATCTCACCAACTCTGTGTGTGTGTGTATCACACCAACTCTGTGTGTGTGTGTATCTCACCAACTCTGTGTGTGTGTGTATCTCACCAACTCTCAGTGTGTGTGTGTATCACCAACTCTCAGTGTGTGTATCTCACCAACTCTGTGTGTGTATCTCACCAACTGTGTGTGTGTGTGTGTGTATCTCACCAACTCTGTGTGTGTGTGTATCTCATCAACTCTGTGTGTGTGTGTGTATTTCACCAACTCTCAGTGTGTGTGTATTTCACCAACTCTGTGTGTGTGTGTATCTCACCAACTCTGTGTGTGTGTGTATCTCACCAACTCTCAGTGTGTGTGTGTGTATCTCACCAACTCTCAGTGTGTGTGTGTGTATTTCACCAACTCTGTGTGTGTGTGTGTATTTCACCAACTCTGTGTGTGTGTGTATCACCAACTCTCAGTGTGTGTATCTCATCAACTCTCAGTGTGTGTGTGTATCTCATCAACTCTGTGTGTGTGTGTGTATCTCACCAACTCTGTGTGTGTGTGTATATATCACCAGCTCTCAGTGTGTGTGTGTGTGTGGGGGGGTGTGGGGGTATCGGGGGATGAGGGGGTGTGGGGGGTGAGGGGGTATCGGGGGTATCGGGGGTGAAGGGTGTGGGGTGTGGGGGGGTATCGGGGGGTGAGGGTGTGGGGGTGGGGGGTATCGGGGGGTGAGGGGTGTGGGGTGTGGGGGGGTATCGGGGGGTGAGGGGTGTGGGGTGTGGGGGGGTATCGGGGGTGAGGGGTGTGGGGGCGATTCGGGATATCTCGGACCGAAAACCCCCCCACGCGCAAACGTGCGCGCTTCCCCCCTCTAGAGGGAAC